AATCAATTTCAAAATACTGGGTTGTTAAAAGGATTTTGTAAGTTGAGTTACATTCACTTATGTGCTAATAACCTTGGGAAAGGTATGAATATCTCTTCTCACAACAACTATGGGTAAATAGCAGGACAGACTGGGTTCTATCGCCTTGGATGGTAACTGGTCTACTGCAGAAAGAAATGGCTACTGCAGGTAAAAAATCTGCCTTGTCAGTCATGTATCAAAAGATACATGATCGCCTAAGAGTGTATCATGTATGGCACATAACTGACTGAAGTCACCATTTGCATGATGACTAGTCTTTGATCAACTGATCAGACTATCATTAAATGGGTTCAATTCTCATTAATGGAATGCTGATTGAGGTATCAACTGTTAGGACATGGTTGTTGACAACTCCAGAATTCTATCTATTGCTAGGACATGGCCCTTTATTGTTTAAAGATTCCTTCATAAAATTGCACATATATCTTGTGATTTTTGGCCACATGGAACCATAAATTCCATCTGGTTGCCACCAGCACATGAAACCATTTAGGCAAGGATCCTCCAAACCATTTTCAGCTTGTCCTTTTTGAAAAAGTTTAATTTGATGAAAGCAGTAAGCATGGGCAACATCAAATGTTGGCCTATATGAGAATACTTCACTTGCAAGATTTTAAACACATGGTAACTGTTAGTAACACATTTGGCATATACATGATTGACTAACAGTTTGATGGTACAATATCAATAAGAAATGACTGAATATTTGCAGTCATATTTAAAATGCTGTGGTCATGGAAGTTGGTTGTTTAGTCTATGATACTGAAAGTTTGGCTTTCAGGTCAGCAAAGTGACAATTTGGGCAGATGAAGTTGCCTAACACATTTAACACTTCAAATAGCATTTTTTTTTTTTTTTTTTTTTTTTTTAACTTTTTGTAGAGTTGGCGAGTGTCAAAGTGCATATTTTTTTAAAAATCCAAGGACAAAATTATCCTCCATCTTTCAACCTCACTAAAGTTGTAATTGTCTTCCATTTTAGTGTAGTTGACTTTTTGGAAGCCTTTTTTGCCAAATGGTAATTTTTTTTGTGTTAACCTTAAGAATATAAATGCCATGGAGACAAAATTTACAAAACATGTTATCTTCTATATAGAAATCATAAAGAAACTTTTCTGGTTTTAACTTAAATATTATATACTGGAGTCATTTGTCTCTTTTTCGGGGTTGAGAGAACAGGTTCAACTTTTGAGGTTGAAGTCATAGGTGATTCAATGTATTGATTATGTTCATCCATCTTAGAATTTTGTTGTTCATTCATATCAGAAACAAGAATGGTTTAGATTTTGCAACGGAAAAGTGTTTTAAAAACCTGAAAATTTACAAAGTTTAAAGTATATTTTGGGAAATAAAAAGTTAATATTGTTGAAGGATATTTTTCTTTAAATTAAAATTTTTTACAGTGGTGAAGATAATGTAACTATAAATTCATGTGAGTTGGTAGATAAGACACTGGGTTAAACTTTTAATAACAATTGCAGATACAATGTTTAATTGTGGAAGAATGAAACAAATTTGAAAAATACATGAAAAACTAGATGCCATTTCAGATTTGCAAATCTGGCTATGATTCCATAAACATAGAAAATTGGCCGCCACCTAATTATTTTCTTATGGTACATCTTTATCTAGTATTTTGAATTTTCTTGCAGCGCAAGTTTTGATTCAACAGTTCGATTATGGGATGTTGAACAAGGTACCTGTATCCACACACTAACAAAACACCAAGAACCTGTTTACAGTGTTGCTTTTAGTCCAGATGGGAAGTTTTTAGCCAGTGGATCTTTTGATAAATGTGTTCACATATGGAATGTACAGGTGACAAATCTTTTCATTTTTTTTTTTTTTCTTTTTCTCTCTCTCTCTCTCACCCCCCCCACACAATTTTTATCAGTAATTTGCAGCATAGTTCAAATAAGCATTGAATACCCAAGTTGAGTTTCTGTTTCTATTTCTGCTTTGATAAAAGATAACACCAAAAGTAGATGACATTTTTAGTGGGAAGAATGTAAAACTTGGTTATGTTTTAATAAAAATTGAAAATCACTTATAACAAATCGTCACTATAAGAATATAATATAGAAAAATTGATGTACAAAGGACTTTTTAAAATATTCTAACGAATACAGAATTTTATGAAACTAAATCTATTTTCCCAAACCTTTTAATAATTGTATTATAATAATCAACTTGTATTGATTTTAGTATTTTAAAATTCTTTACAGACCGGATCATTGGTACATAGTTACCGAGGCACTGGGGGAATATTTGAAGTCTGTTGGAATTATCGTGGAGATAAAGTTGGGGCTAGTGCTTCAGATGGTTCAGTAAGTACACATTTCTTGATTGTTCTCATTTGGAAATTTATCAAATGCTGCATATACCAAACAATTTTAATTTCTAAACAAAATTTCTTGTTTATTTTAAAGCCTAAAATATGCTGAAACTTTGATAACTTTATAGAAGAATAAAAATAATAAAAATGGACAGAATGCAAATACAGGGTCAGGTTTTTTTGTTTTGTTTTTTTTCTTTGGCAGAAACCAATTTCTTTAAAGTAAATTTCAAAATCTTTTGCTGACTAGATTAAAATATTTATGACATTTTCTTGCATTTTTCTCAGAATTATATTGAGTTTCTTTTATTGTAGGTTTTTGTTTTGGATTTACGGAAGTGATCTCGTGTTACTACTGCATTTAATGTTACCTGCCAGTGGAAGATAAGAGAAATATTGGAAGAGGCATTGCAGCCAGCCAGCCAACTCTCCCTGTCCTGTCTGATTTTTAATTCATCAGCAATTTTTTCAATAAGGTGATGACATTTGTCAGAGGCAGGCAGGTAGCTTGGGGGAAGGGAAACAATCTCAGTGCATTGAAAGCGCACACAGGATGCAGAGAAAATTTCACAGAAACACTCGCACCAGGTGGCAGTAGCTGTAAACCCCTCTGAGATTTGTCCAGCAAGTATAAATTTAAAAAACGAATTGGGTGGGGGGAAGGGTGGAGCAAACAAATTCATTTGAATATACCCTTTATCGTATGGTTGGGCAAGAAGGGAGAAAATGAAGGGGGTAATTCCCCCTTCCCCAAACGATTTTGTTTGAAAACCTCTTCTGCTCTTTTTATAAGGGCTTTTTAGAAAATTTAACTGAGGAAAAGGTTTTAGCCTTGTCACTGATAAGATAAGGGGGGGAAAAAAAAGTAAGTTTTGATGAAGACCCAACTCTGCTGGATTTGCTATTGTGTATCATTATTGTTCTCTTTCTATTTGGGAATTTTCAAATGAACAACAAAGAAAATATGACGATATAAACTTGAAAACATTTGAGATAACGGAAAGGAAAAAAAATAAAAATAAAATAAAAAGGTCCTGATTGAGTCAAAGCCAATGAGTGTGGATTGATCTACCTAAGCAGTTGTAAATTTCAAACTGCTGATGATTGTTTTTAAAGCATCCACCTGGTCAGCTGGTTCTTCCTGGATGATGTTACATATGACTATATGAGTCAGGAATGAAATTTCATCTCCCACTCTCTCTTCCTTTCTCCCCTCACCATCATCTATCATTGTCTCTACCAACTCCCTCCCATCCCCCCTTCAATAGGCCCAATAAGCAGCAGGCTTGTCATCTACCTCTTGACTTTATTTTTTAATCTCTTCCAACCATTTCTTGATCAGTCCTCTTTTATACACACAAAGAAGTCTCAGCTCAGACATTTATATCAACATAGACTACCAAACGGGGATGATTGAGCAGACTACAATTAAATGTCTCTTACATTGTACTACTTATATATTGACTCCAATGATTTGTAGACAATTCAACCATGACTTCTCAGGCATTGCCTAGTACTAAATGAGGAGCTGTAGCATTGGATTCTTTTAATCTCTTAACATCCTTCCCCCATTCACCTCTACCAACATTTTTAGTTCATCAATAAGTTTTTGTTAATTTTTATCTTTCAACCTTGAAATATTTGCATTTATAGCTAACTGCAATTTTTATCTTTTCATTGGGCTTCTTTCAATGGTTGGCTGCTATCTTCATATCACAATTTACCCTATTTTACATGTATTGCTTTTTATTTTCTTACTCTGTACCTGGTTAACAGAAGTGTGAGCAACTTTTTTTCTTTTTTTTTATTCCTTTAATAATTTCTCTTCAGATCAGTGTTTTGATTTCCTTTTGCCTAAGCTTTTTTTTTCTTGTTTTGCTGCTTGTATCATTTTGAAGTTTTCATTTGGAATGTTTGTGTATTATAAAAACTAGTCAAGTTGGAGAAAAATATAAATTAACTTTCAGTTCTCAGTCAAACTAAATATGACTGCAGCCAGAAAAGTTGACTTGTGTCTAATTAAGAGAGAGAAATGTTCAAGTGTGGGCTAATTTCAGTAACTTCACATTGTAGCAAATGTTTCTCTTTGTAAATTTTTTTTTTTTTTTTAAACAATGGTTTGCTTTAAGCTGAGACAATTTTCTTCCCATCTGTTTTTACATAAACCTGCTGCTGCATTTGATCAGTTTTGTCTAAGTAGGCAAGGCAACTTTTGACTCCCCTATACAATCTTCATTCATTCGTCCATAGACCTCTAGCATATTGTTACTAGTGGCGTACTCGTTGGTGAATTCTTTTTCTTTTGGCTGGACACTCACTTTCCCCCAATTGAGGATATTTCATTTATTTTAACAAGCTGTACTCTCAGTTTTATTACAGGAATATTTTCATTCTGGAGTTGAATGAAATGTCTTGGACAAAGAATGGTTGTTTGAATCCCTCCATGAGGAGACAACTTTGGGCTGGTGAATAGGAACATAAACTTAGTTTGAAGAGACTTAAAATAAAACTTAAACGATATAATGAATGAATGTATGCTATGAATGTATGTGTATAATTTGTCCACAAGGTGTATGTGTTTTTCTTTCATAAAGAAGAGTGATAATGCTGGGAGATTTGTTCTCATCAACATATCAATTGAGAAAGAAAATTTGCTTTGCTACAATTTGATGTAGCAAAGTAAATGTTAGATGTGTTATTTCTCACTCCACTATTCATTGCTCCCCCTCCAACTCATTCTTCTTTCCACCAAACTATCTCCAGTGCATTCTCTCGCTCCAAGACATGATTTAAGAGAGGATTAGTCATTAAGAAGTTGGTGTATAAATTTCGCCCTCTGAATTGACTCCTTTTGGAAACTGAGAACTTTTTTCAGCTTGGCTTTCTTTTGCTTTACAACGGAATCCTACTTACAAAAAGAAAAGAAAAACAAAACCTCTTTCCTGAAATTACTGATGGTGCAAGTGGAACACTTTATATACATAAAGGCAACAATGCATTTGTGATTTGTGGACATGGTCTAGTGGCTGCTGGTCCCATTTCATCATTATCATCATCATGTTAGTGTGGTAGCTTTTCTTATACAAACCACTCACTCACTTAGCAGCTCTTGTTGGCATTGCTTTTCTGACCATACCACATTCAACTGACCTTCACCTTGGTTTTTAAAATCACTTTCAAGAGAGAATAAGTTTTTAAATATTGAAAGAAATTATTTATTTTTTATCTACAAAGTGGAAAAGAATTTTTTTTTTTTTTTTTAAAAAAAAAAAAAAAAAAACTTACCCCACCTCATTTTCTGAACAGAGCACCAGATACTGTGGTGGCCTTTCACATTCAATTTCCAAATGGAGCAATGCAATGGAGGTCTGCTCTGGCAGGCAATTACTGTTCTGCTTTTTACCCCCCGCCCCCCAGGTGATGACAAGTAACCCCTGTCAGGTAAGTCTGTAAATACGTCCACTCATTGTCTACCCACTCCCATCACCAACCTGATCACACAAACTCCATTTTACCCTCCCCCACCGGTTTTTTTTTTTTTCTTCTTCCCTTGCAAAAATTTTAAAATTCCAAAACTCTTCCTTCTAAAATAAAGAGTGGAAGCAAACAAAACAGAGCAAAATAACAATTTTGTAAACTGTTGTAATATTGAATAAATAAATTGAAATTATTCTATTGCTTCTGTTTCGTTTTAATGAAATTAAATTATTGGGGCATTTCTAAATTTTAACTTTCCTCAAGAAAAAAAAAGATTTTATAGACATTAATACTCTATAATCAGAATCTCATAATAAACAATAACAGATTATCACCTGTTTGCAATGTTGCTCATTTCTGCTAACAATAACTACAAGAATATTCACTAGAATGAGTCATTTTGGAAACTTACGTGAACCTAAGATTAAACAAGTATCCCTCCCCCTTTTGACAAGGATTATTGTCACTTACAAATACTAGATAAGCATGAAGTGTGGGGGAATTGCTGCTAAATTGAAATAAATTCAAGATTCAATTATATCAGGTTTAAAATTTCTTTTTAAAACAGTTACTTAATTGCAGTTAAGTACAAGATTTTTTTTTTTTTCTTTTCAGTGAGTGCAAGTTGAATTACAGGAGAAGTGGGTGGGGAATACAAATTATTTAGTCTTTCTTAAAACTGCAATTTTGAAATTGCAGACACAAAATCCCCAATAAATGAAACTAACACTACCTGCCTTTTAAAGATTTTATCACAGAAATTCCAGTCCCTATCAATAATCAGGATTTAGGCATTAGGATGTTTATATGTATGAATTTCATTTGAAAGAGTTTTTTAAAAAAAAAAAAAAAATCATCTCCATTTCTCTAGTCACTCCCATGCAAAAGTTGGTTCTTTTGTGCAACACTAACTGAAAACAGAAAATTTTCTATTGAAACATTAAATGAATTGAGTTTGGTCTTCATGTTTCTTTTCTCTCCTACCTGCTAGTTTTGCTGCTTAACAGATTTTAAAGAATGGAATTCTTTCAAATCATTCAGGCGATGTGTGTACAAGACAAGTTTAAAACTATCAAAACTTTGTTCAAAATTCCATTGTTTCATTCTGAGTTCAGAGAAAATATTAAGTACTTAATTAATGTCATTAAAATTCAGCTTTAATCTTTTGATATTGAAAGAATGAAACAAGTGGAAGCTGTGTGAAATTCTTGAGAATTAGGTTAGTTTAATGGTTTTAAAAATAAAAGGTTAACTTTAAACAACAAAAACATTAAGCAAAAGTTACAAATGTTGAGTCAACAAGAAATTAAAATTTGTGTACAATTTTTTTTAATACATATTGCCTAAGTCTGACCAAACCTTTTCTTGGTCAGGCTGAGAGCTTCACCACTTCCTTGTATATACAAACGTGCATGACCATTTTTTTTTTTTTTTTTTATGATCAAAAATAAAAATAACTGAGAAAGAAAAGATTTTTACTCTCTCTCTCTCTCCCACATTTTAAGGAATAGGTGAAAGAAAGAGTAAACTATGTTGTTCAGCAGGTAAACAGAATTTAGGGCATTCCAGGTGCTATTTAGCCAACTTTAAACAGACAGCCTAGAAATCTGAAAGTCAGTCCGGAGTGGAGGAAATTTGAAACTTAAGAACATGAGGGAGCTTTTTCACCTGGTTGCCAGTAATTTGCTCAAAAAGAAGCATGATTAAAAACTGGGTAATTAGTAATCTGTGCTTAAAAAAAAAAAAAAAAAAAACAAACCCCTCAGTGAAAGAATTTTTGTGTCAAGAAAAATTCCACAATGGTGGGAGTGAAAATGCTTCATAATATTTTACTCATTCATTGCAGATGGAGACATTTTTCTAAGTGTTCCTTGGAAGAAGAGAAAAATGAACACGTTTGGCCAGTAGCAGAATCAATGAAAATTACTGGTTCAGTAAATCCTAATCTAGTGAAAAGTCGTTTCTTCTTTGAATGGAGTTTGCCCACACGAGAAGACTTGTATCAAGAATAAAATATTAATGTTGTGAATGATGCCACAAGATGAATAGTGATATCAGAATATTCTGAGATCCACTGCTGTAGTGTATGAATGTTCAACTAGTATAGATGCCTATTTACACACCTGTACAGTGATAAATTTACAAATTTAGAATGGCTTATTTATCAAAAATGAATTTTTAGTGTGAAATGTTTGTCCATTCGAAGAGGTAGAGAACTGGAGAGTGCTGAAACTTCCCAGTAGAGACTGCGTGACATGAACAATTGATAAAGTATCACAACAACGGTTGACTGGGAAAATATGATGCCCATTGTCAATATCTGCAAGAGGAAAAAAAAAAAGTTTTAAAATGTTAAATCATTCATAATTTTCAAAATGACAGGAGTATAAAGAGTTATTCAAATGCACAGCTTTTGACATTTTGTAGTAATTATTTGCAGTCTACATGAGCTTTTAATCAGTCTTATCAAAATGCTGTATCTAAATAAAGGCAAATAATAGATATAAATTTATTTCAATGACAGAAAATTAACATTTAATATTCAATCTGTTGTAAACTATTTGATCCCCAACCTGTGGCCTTTTTGTAACCAAAAATCATTTTGAGTGGTTACAAAAATTAAAACAACCTGGAAGATCAAATGAGAAGGAAAGAAACAAATCAAGAAGCATTTTGGCTTTTTCTGTTTTAATAAATTTACATTTCAACATGAGGAATGAAGAGAAAAAAAAAATGCTTTCATAATAACAAAAAACAAAAATATACATTTATGATGGAAGCATTAAACAGAAAAAAAAAAGGGGGCTGAAGACTGAGTTACTATTGTTTTCTCTCCTTGCATTCAGAAAATCTGCAAAACAATGCAAAGAAGTGATCCTCAAAAGGGGCCAATATTTTCCACCCCCATAAGAGATGTGATGTTAAACTGGTATTCATTGAAATTTGCCAACCCTCATCAAAATCTACTTTTTTTGGTTTTGGCATTTCAAAAAGTCACTAAAATCTTCTCTTTCATAACTACAGCAGTAGAGATACATCCATTTACTCTGTTAAAATTAAAAATCCGATCTCAGATTGGGGCTACAGAATCTGAGAGAATGTACCAAATGATACTGAAGGTTTCCTTGTAAGGAAATGGCTATTATTATTATCATCATCATTATATATGGCTTACCTGCTTTTATATAGAGTATATCAAAAATACTTTTACAAACTTTGTTTTGGAATGAGGAACCTGCCCCCAAAGCCAAAAGTCCATATAAATGTCCACAAATCCATTTTTGAGTTATCAAGTTTACAATAGATGTTGCCATGTAGACTAGGTTACATTTGTCATTTGTGGTTAGTCTGTCTTCAACGTGTGCAGTAGTGAGTTAACTAAGTGTTCTGTTTAACAATGGCAGTATATTCATATCGTGAGCAGGCAGACAGCTGTGCAAATGGTAATGGATGTAAGGCTGCATTAGATTGTGTTTCCAGACTGAAGGCAGCCAAGTCATCCAACCCTTGCTGCTGTTTATCGTCACGCCAAGACAGGATCTGTGGCACCACAAACTGGATCGAGGAAAACTGAGATCTGTTTGTATGCTGGACCATGAAGAATACATTCTATAGGTTGTTGGATACGATCCAAGTATCAAAACATGTCAATTAGCCGTAGTATGTTGTATGGAGTGCAAGTATCAAGAATTGGCTCAATAGCTGATATGCCATCAAATCAGAAAGTAATTCCTCAAAATAAAAGCTGGGTGGTGAAGCCAAAACTTGCATGTAAGCAAACTTATTTTCGAGAAAGAAAGCCTATTTTGTAAAAGGTTTGGGCGACAATGAGAAATTGGGAGAAAAATAAAAAACAAAACATTTGTATTAATAGTTGAGATTGTAAAGTTTTGTTGTCAGACAACATGGATTCATTTCACTTGTTAACTTCCACCTGCTCATTATTTATACAAGAACATGTCATTCTATTGCAAAATGATTGTGAAGTTTTTACCTTGTAGCGTAAATATTCGGCAAATAGCCAAGTAAGTACAACCAAGACAGGGTAGGAGAGGAACCACACCATACATAACTGAGAATAGGGGAGAAAAAAAAAACATTGGTCAAAAGATTTATGATCAACAACATAAAAATGGACAAGGTTGTAAGTTTTTTTTATTAATATGGATGATATTTTGCTTAAAGAAAACAAATTTGATCTGAAATTTTCACAGTTCAATGAAAATGATATATATTTGCTATTGAATTAAAAAGGAATATATTCAATTGTGTTGAAAACTTGCTATAGGATACATTTTTCATAATTAGGTTATACACATACTGATGTAAATAAATTATAATGTGAAATTTTTTCTTTTTACTATTCTGAGAGATTTTTGACATTCAGGCTCCATCTAAATTGGCCTCAGACAATTATTGTTTTAAATCTATTGCCTGTGTAGAAATTGATTCAGGGAGAGATTTCTAGGCAGTATTTTTTTAAAAATAATAACATTAGTAGTGGTATTATTATTATTATTATTATTATTATTCTAATGATAAGGATCCTTAACAAAATATTTACATTTTCATAAAATAAAATTCAAGGTTTCTGAGAAAAAAAGAAAGGGAATTGCAAATTGCTTCTATATTTTTTTTACATATTTAACAAAAGTGAAATTTAGCCAGAGAACTTGAAAAATGACTTATGCAATGTGCAAATAAAAAAAAGTCAGTTTGCTTTATAAATGAAAAAAAAAAAAAAAAACATTACTCAAAAGATGTAAAAAAAAAAAAAAAAAAATCTAAAAATAATTTTCAAAATATTTTTATACAAAACAAAAAAAAAAAAAAAAATGTAAAACACAAATAGACAAAAATACACAAGAAAAGTGAAATTTACCTTTGTGAAGGTGATATAAAATTCCCTTTTTAAAGCACTTCTTTCTGAATTGACAGTTTTTCGAAGATTCCAAGCAAATACAGCTGCCATTAGAATGCGAAGTGCAACCAAAGCCAAGCCTGCATATGTTCGGTGCGCATAATACATTCTGTGCTCTTTGTCTCGGTATTGTTCCCATAAAAAAAGCACAGACTGGAAGAATAGACACAAAAAAAAAAAAAAAAAAATCCCATCAACAAGGGAAATAACTTTTATACCTTAGCAACTAACAACATTTCAGAATGGCAATCATCTCAAACATCATTAACTACTTTTTCAGAAGTACTTATCCATTAAAAAAAAAAAAAAATGGGTAAATTTCACACAAATAAAACATTCTATTTGGGAGAAAGCTACAAAAATATAGTGTGTGCATATATATATATATATATATATATATGTTTGTATTGATACTTGCTATATATTTCCTTGTTTATATATTTATGCACCTGTATATGTATGAATGTGTAAACTTAGGTACATATCTGTAAGTATGCACAAATACAAATATATACATACACACACACATTCAACACCATCACTTGATAAGACACCAAAAGTGTTGAAACAAAATGGCTATTTTTGTAGTGATTTTATAACATATTTATGTTATAATTTTCGAATAAATAATTATATAATATATATATATATATATATATATATATATATATATAACAACTTGGCAAATATTGAATGTGAAATACAGAAGAGAAATATGTCAAAATTTCTACATAGTTACATTCATTTAATAATTTTACATAAATAATTAAGGAATAAATTTTGCTGTTTCTGATTTAAGATACAACACATATCAGCATCTGTATGTTAGAGATTTTAAATTCAGAAAAGAAAAAAAAAAAAAAAAGAAAGATTTTCCATGTTCAATGAAAACAAATGAATTAGTATAATTGAGGGAAAAAAAATAAAAATCCAAATTTAGTTTCACCAACTTACTTGTAGTATACATAAAATACCAATAATTTTAGCAGCTGGTTTCTTCTTAATGGTTTCAATAGGTGAAGATTTGTATGGACTGGTCAATGTCCAACCAAGAGATAGGCACAGTAGCATATACAACATAGTGAATTGAGAAATTACATCAAAAACTGTAAAAAGAAGGAAAAAAAAGAAAAAAAAAAATTTAAATTCATGATTAAAGATTTAGAAAATAGAAAATGGAATAATCTTGATATGTGTTGAGGTAGTAAAGTTACTGGAAATAAAAAAAAAAACATTTTGCTTTAAATGTCAGATGTATAAAGATCTTTGTCAAAAAAGAAAAAATATTTTAGAGCAAAATTTATGAGTTAAAAAAATATATGAAAAAAACAAGAAAAGCTAATTCTGGCCAAATAGATTTGATGAAATTTATTGGTTAAAAAGACTAAATGGATAATAAAGTTGCTTTTCAAACCAAATGGAAATGCTTACATTCAGCAAGAAGTTCACAGAAAGGGAAGCCAAATCCATCCTTGGAATAACTGAAAGGAAATATAAGAATAATATATAGCAAATCATTTGAAAACATAATACTTTTTTCTTTTTTTAATGTAGTACAGAGAGAAGACAGGGAGAGAGAGAGAGGTCACAATCTCCTCTCAATAATGCTCAAGGACAAATCTCAGCATATATATATATATATATATATATATATATATATTCCCCCCATATAATTGTATCATTTGAGTAAATGGAGAATATACATTTTTAAATCCCCAAAAGTGTTGATGTAAAAAAGGAAGGCTTGTAGCTTTGCGGTCACATTTTAAAGGGAGGTAACTTAGTTTTGCCTGAATTTTTCATACACATTTCAAATTATTTCATGTAAAGAGTGTTTTATTTAAAAAAAGAAAGAAAAGAAACAGATACATCAAGGTATCATAATTGTTTCCCCTCATTGTATAGACTCAGTCATTTTAAGTGCCTTCACAGAATATGAACTGGGTGAATAAAAAGAAACATAAAATGTCACATAAAATAAACTATCTACTTTTTATCATCACAAAAGTAGATGAAGTCAGAAGAAAAGCCAGAATGGTAGTAGAAAAAAACACTTCCTTTGACAGTTTTCAGATCCAGATTGGTTAAATTAGCTGCTATGAATCTCACCTAAACCAAATTTTTAATTCTCACAGCTGAAGAATGAATTTGCTAAAACATTCTGATAAAAAGTAGCAACAATAAGAATAAAATTCAATGACCTCATGTAATCACAATATTTCAGAAGATATTTTATGACTTTGCAATATTTGTCTAATTTTCTTAATTGTGCATTTTCAAAGCATGAATAAAAAGAAATATTGGATGTATAAGTAATGTAATGGTTATTGGCACAGACATTGGACTTGAAAAACTGAATTCAAATTCTGTTCTAGATTGGTGCATTCACTTTCACACTAATGATCTTGGGAAAGGCATAAACCCAACTCTTCTACACCTTCTTATAAGTTAAATAGCAGGGTAAAGTGGGCTCCTTAGTTTTTGTCATTCTCACAGGAATACTCTGAATTTAAAACCAGAGAAAAAACGAAACCACTGCCCCATCTTTTGAAAGAAGTCATGTCATGTCAATTTGTAGATATTAAAAAAGAAAAAACTTGTGGAGGGCCATGATCGCCTATGTGCTAAAGATGCAGAGTATTAGAAGATAAGAAAAAATATTGCACCCATACGTAGAGACAGAGAAGTAGGGGACAATATTCAAACTACAGCAGGCAATCATAACAGAAAACAATTTGCCAGAAAACAGGCTTCATTAAGGTGTTAAATTGAAATGCTTCCCTTCATTGAAGTAGGGGAAGGAATCAAAATTTAAGGGAGGTAACTTTTCTATCTGAATAGTGCTTTTATTTTTCAAATTAGGTATTGTTTAAAAATATTACACTTGTTAATTCGATTATTGTTTATTCATAAAATACATTTTGCCCTATAGACTTATCACTAAAATCTTCATTAAGATTTTGTTTTCATTCTAGGAACATTTAAAAACTAGTAAAAGATGACAAAACCCAAACCTATTTAAATATTTGTCCTACCCAAAAGTACATGGGTAAGTAATATTTAAAAAAGTCTGAAATGTATTAAATCCTATTCTTTTTATTTAAAGAATTTATATATATATATATATATATATATATATATATATATATATATATATATAATTATTTTATAAAATTTATAACATAATTTGTTACATAAAATCATAAAATATTTATAAAAAATAGCCATTTTGTTTCAACACACTCTGTGTCTTATCAAGTGATGGTGTTGAAAAGAAAATAAATGGTTTTAAAAAGTTTCAGATGAATTAACGATCCTACACTAGGGGGAGCATTGTTACAAAAGCTAGAATAACCAATCAAAAAACGAAGTACAGAAAGATTCAAAAGCTTGACAACAAAATCCTGCTATTATAGCTATTTAGATCTTTAAATACGTGTAATATTAAAAATAATTTTTACTAACTAATAATTATAAATTTATATGATAAAATTTAATATTAAAATTAAAAAACTGGCAATTTTTAAAAATCCAAATTTAATCACTATTAAGTTTAAAAACTACAAAATTATTGAGAAAAAAAAAAAATATATATGTTTATTCAATTCATTTCTTCATTGAAATTACGTCTGACAAGACAAAAAGCTACAATTCGTCCGGTCATCTGATAATACATGTATATATTTTTTTTTTCCGTTTTTATTTTAAAGTTTGTGAATATGGTCTTAAACTCACGCGTGACACAACAAAAACACAATCAGGTTATAATACATACGCATCCAGACATAATTAGATACATACACACACACACACACAAATATACACACACACTTAAAAAAAAAAAAAAAAAAAAAAAAAAAAGAGGTGGGGGGAATACATGAACAACTCCACAGCCCTTTACGAAAAAAGGAGACGTGGAAACTAACACTTATACACACACACAGTTAAATGTGAATACACTCTACATACACATAGACACCGATATGTACACAAACATACATCCACAATGTCATAGACATTGAGAAATCACAACCAGTAAATATTTCAGACTTAAATAAATGCTAACCACTTATTGAATTATAACTTAAGGGAGCAAATATATAAAGATAAAAATTATTCTAGCTTTTGTAACAATGCTCCCCCTAGTGTAGGATCGTTAATTCATCTGAAACTTTTAAAACCATTTATTTTCTTTTCAACACCATCACTTGATAAGACACAGAGTGTGTTGAAACAAAATGGCTATTTTTGTAGTGATTTTATAACATACTTATGTTATAAATTTTTTTATAAAAATAATTATATCTGCTCTACTTTGTATTGAGCACTCTTTTAAGAATAGTAATTGTTGGTTATTGGAATTCATTCCGTGTATACCAATTATATACTTTATATATATATATATATATATATATATATATATATATATAATCAACGTTGTGATTTTAACAGATTTCAACATTATATAATCCTCTAAAACAAACCCACCGTCTTGTCAAGCTCTCATTATTGTAAATAAGCAACAATCAATTCAGCCATTGTCATTTAAGAAAAGTTACATTCTGATATAAAAGTTATCTCCCTTTAATTTTGATTTTTCAACAGTTTTTTTTTGTTTTTTTAATTTATCAATCGAACAGATTTTTATCACTTTAAATGTTATTTTTAGTGGATATCAATATTTGAGTAGATGCTTCATTTATTTTAAAAACTTATTTATTTTCATTTAAATATACCGTTTAAAATAAACGGAACGTCTACTCAAATATTGGCATACACAAAAAATGTTTAATGTGATAAAAATCTGTTAGATTGATAAAATAAAAATGTCTAGAAATTGCTTTGTTTAAGTTTGGATATAAATTTTTTAAAATCTGGGGCAAGAGGGATTTTTGCATAAAGGCACTATTTCAGAGACTTGCTTGATCAAGTTTGACCTTTGTGGCTAAGTTGGTCTAAAGAACATCGCATTCTGCTGCAAAGATGGACGCAAATTTTTTTTTTTTTTCCAGTTTTGAAACATGGAAATTTTCTGTGTTGTGATGGAATCATATTTTTTATAAAGAAAATATATATATATATATATATTTTTTTTTTTTTCAAGGAGTTACTGTGAATGGGGAAAACTGAAAAAATGTTGGTGAGGAAAAAGGACAGTAAAAAAGAACAGAATTCAAGAAGGCAGATGATGATGATTGATGTTGCATTTAAATTAAAGATAAGTTTATAATGTGTGGCTACTCAATATGGCATGGAGTCTGTGAAATAATGGAGTCATTGTCCAGGTAAATCTATCCAGGCTTGTTCAAGGGATGCCCATAATTGATTTATGCAAAATGTCACATACAATGCTTAATGGGGGTTGAAATCTAATGAGTGTGGGTACCATGTAACAAGTGTAAATTCGCTGAGTGTGACTGGAACTAAATTCATATTCCATGATATAGGTGAGAGACTGCTATTGTGTTGTAACAAGCCAGCATCACTGGGAAATAAGCATAAAAAGGGTACAGGTGGTAAAGAAGGATCTGTGGATATCACACCTGTCAAGATAGAAAATCCAGTTTCATTTGTGGCCATCATTACAAACTCCAACACATGCAACCCCATTACAGAGTTGCTGTCACCAGATTGCGCAACATCCTGTAGCAGAAACAAAATGCAAAGGGAGCAGCTAATCACTACTGACAATGGTACCTGCTTCCATCTGTCAAAGAGATGACATTCTGTGTGCTGTCTCTGCAGAATGACAGCACATGGCTACCAGAACAGAGCCGGTGTGAACCCTGGAATGTCTGGTTATGAAGAGAGAAAGTGTCTATGAGCATCCCCATGAGGTCATTGGTGAGCTGAGAAGTGTTAGCTTTGCAAATGATTCCTTTGCTAGCCAACTCTTAAAGTTTTAGGTGCTATAAAAGCAGGCACATTTTCTGGGAAGAGGGAGAGCTTGGCAGTACACCACATTGACTGCACAGCAGGATTGCTGTGTGTTACTCAGCATCATTTCAAATTCGTTTGTGTTTCTGGTGCCTCAGCTGTGTTCATCCCATGTGTGGTGTCCGTATGGGAGGAGTCTTGTCTGTCCCCTGCTTGCCGTGATCCAGTACAGCCAAATTTTTCGTCCCTCTTTAGCAGTTACCAATGGGTGGTTATCATTATTTTCACCTGTTGGTAATCCCATTCTCAAATCATCTGTAGGTGTCTGAAATTCACATCTACCTGCTATATCCTTTGCTACTGGTATCCAATAAAATCCTAGAGCAGTTGCCAACTTGAAGAATGCTCTTCTGTTAAACATTAAATACCATCTATGTCACATAATTGCCAAAGCTACACTACCTCCTTAACCTATCACAACACATATACACCATCCACCTGTATCCAGTTTTACAAGTTGAGGAGGGTGAAACTATCCAGTGTGCAACTGGATCTAATTTTTTTGGCACTTCAGTTTATCATCAAGTAGCTACTGTTTAAATACGTTTGTTCATTGTCATATACCTTTATTTCAAGTACTTGTAAAAATTTGGGAGGGGGTATGTTTCTGTTGTGGAGTGATCGGGTGAATGAAGTTTTTCCCCACTGATGAAGAAAGAAAAAAAATCTTTTGGAATACAATGAAAACTACGACATTAAACTTAAAAATTCTTTTATATGTCCTTTCATTATGTGGCATATCAGGGCTTTTTAACAACTTCCTTTTTGATGTTGCTCTAAGTAATTCTTGCCTCTTTACCACTGTCTTTGTGATCCTTGTTCTGTTATCTCTTTACTCCGACACAAGTAAGTATTAATAAGTAGGTTAGTAAGTAGGTTTCTCTTGCTTTCAATATGCATCTCCCACCTCTGAGTGTTAAGCTCTTTTAGGATTCTTTCTTCATTACATGTCCGCCAAAGTATTAGCTGTTTTTTTTCTTTCCTCATTCCTATTCTCCTTTAAAACTTTCTCATTATTCTTATGCTTCACTCGTAGTATTCTCAAGTCACTGGTAGAAGTACATTTGTTGTTTCAGGTAAGAAGAAATTGTTCAACATTCACTGTCATATAGAAGATTGGATATTATCTGGTAGTATTTTCTTTGTTTCTAAGAAGGTTTTTCAATCCCTTAACACTTTGCTCAGCTTTTGAAAGGCATCTTTTACTATTCCTGTGTGGCTTCAAATTTCTGTGCCACACTTTTTGTAATTATTATGCTATTTAGGTAGTTAAATTTCCACACATGCTTGATTTTGATGTAACTTCCAACTGGAGTTGTCTCCCTTGTTGATAACCATGTTGTTTTCTTACAGTTGGTCCTTTGCTCTCCTTGGCTACCTTGTCAAATAGTTATTTCAGTTTACTTTCTCAGTTTGCCATTAATACAGTGTCATCTACATAGTGTGTGTTATGCTCACTGATGATAAATCCTGGTAGACCATGTTGTTCTCTTGAAATGGTTCCCTGCACAGGTTAAATGAATCCTATGTGAAAACACACCTTCGTCAAACTCTTTCGATTTTTGTGTATTCACTAAAGTTGATGTTTGCTCTTTGTACATATTACTTGAATATCTTTTCCTTGTCAATCAAGCTTTTGTAATATTTCAAGGGGCTTCTCATACCATATCAAATGTCTTTGTGTAGTCTATGAAACACGAGTAGAGAATGGTCTAAAAAATGCTTTATCGACAAAAATTTTCCCTACCTTTAAGTGGACCAGTCTATTTAAGTAGTACCTTTTTTTTTTTTTTTTTTTAATTATTTTAATTAATAGCGTTCTCATTTTTAAATGTCATTCATCTTGTTGAAGAGCATGATTTCTGTCCTATCTTTTCTATTATTTTTTTTATACATGCCTTTGTACTGCAATTTTTCAATATCTGCACATTTCTTATTGAGCCACATCTCTTTGGCTTGCTTGCATTCACTTCTGTTGTTTTTATTTACAGATTGTAATATCTATCAGAGAGATGAAATTTAAATTTTTATTATTGCATTTTTCAAAAAGAAAAGAAAAACAAACCCACACATCAGCCAATTGCTATTAATGTCAACAACTGAACACAAATAGTTATTAATTAAAAAAAAAAAAAAAAAAAAAAGTAATTAATGTATAGTATTATCCATAACTACATGTACAAGAATGTTGTTTTTGATAAAAGTGCTTATATTGTCGAAAATTCCTTTTTCTGCAATATAGCCATTTGTATATTATAATGCTTATTACCTAAACAATAATAATATTAAATAATTTTTTTTAAACATTAAAAGTATATTTAATCACATTTACCTAATTGCTGTCACAATCTGTTAACATCATATATTCCGTGTCATTTGGCCAAATCAAGAATTTTCTCTGGTTTATCCTTCCTTGGAATGACTTTTTCAATTTGTCATTTATGTTCTTAATTGCTAAAAACACTGGTTCTTGTTTGATCACTGAAGTTAAACAGTATCAAACCGGGTCGGTACTTGGATGAGGGACCACGTGGGAATATCGAGTACAGTAAGCAATCTCCTATAATCTGAAATATGTTTCAGCTTTAAATAATCCACAAAGGGTTGATAAGTCATATAAAAAGAGGTTTGCAAATGTTACAAACTTTGAAGTTTGGCTTATTGCAGTTAAAGCCAATTATGAGAAATACTAAGATATTCACTTGACATGCAATACAAACACCAAGAAAATGCAATCAATTTGGTTGGGCATTAGCATTGTGTCTACACATTTGTCGGGGTGTTGTTTTAGTACACAAGGGGGCAGCAACCTCCAAAATTTGGGAACCACTGTCTTAAATGAATACACAATCTTTTTCTATTTTTATCTTAGAGATTAAGTAAGCTTTTTATAAATGTTATTTTGAAAATTCACATCTACTTATTTTGTTCTGAAATTAGAGAGATTGTGTTGTCCATTAGTGAAAGTTTTAACCCCCCCCACACAGACATCAGTTTAAAGATCAGTGATTCTGGAACAGTAAAAATTGATTGGTTTTACAAACCTGTGAAAATGAACCATCATAAGAAAGGAACCAAATGCTTGGAAGGAAGTAGAAGCAGCCAGAAGTTGAATGACTAACTGCATAGGCCCACCTTTAGTGATTGTCTGCCAAAGACGGGGCCACAACACACAACCAGTCACAAAGTAGCACAATGTTAGCAGTTGGTAGAAGCCCAATAATCCTGAAAAAAATTTTGTAAAGAAAGTTGAAGGAAAATTTAAAAAAATTTAAATGAAAGAATTTCCTCAAATAATTTATAAACAAGATGCCCCATCCCTGAAGAAAGAATTGCAGTAATTTTGTATTAGATACATTTGTAGTTAAGAGACGTCTCATGCAGTTTCATAAAATCCTCAATTGAACAAAGCCAAATAAATTTTATGTTAAAATGTGGAATTCATCATGAAATTTTTGTCTAGTATTTACATTATTCGGACGATTGTCCTCATCTTTGTTGCCATATTTAATTCAAAATGTTTCAGCTGTTGTATGCTCCGGCCTTCTTCAGGTGGTTGGAATATCGAACTGAACCCTTTATTTCGCTCACTGGGGTAGACTGTTCTAGTTCCACGTGCCATATTTAATGGGTGTCAGTTATCAGTTATCTCCTGTTAATCCCCCTCTCCAAGTTCTCTACTGCCTTAACCGGGTATTGAACTCACACTCTTTGGGTTCTGTCACTGGATCTAACCAACGCCTTTATCCAGTGAGCAAAATAAAGGGTTCAGTTCGACATTCCAACCACCTGAAGAAGGCCAGAGTATACAATAGCCAAAACGTTGTAATAAATATGATGACAAAGATGAGGACAATAGTCCAAATAATGTAAACAGTGTACATAATACCTCATCTCAGAAATATAGACAAATTTTTGTCTGGATTTATGAGAAAATAAATATTTATTAGGCATTTATTGCTTTGGCCTAGCTGTCCTCATCTTGGTTGTTATGTAATTTAACTATTATACCTTCAATTAATCATCTGGGAATTTCAAATCAAACTCGGGGTGGTCAATTGTTCTCTTTTTGATGTATTTGTGGGCCAATGGTTAGCTGATGGCCAGGAGTTCTAATCACTGCATCAGACAGTGAAAGTCAGATACCATTGTTTAATAGAGAGGCAGGAAGGGAATGAAGAATTACAAGAACAAAGTAACTGATACAAGATATTTCCTAACATAGACACCAAAATAAGAAAAATCTATCCTTGTGGATTTAAAAATAATTTTGGTTTGAAATTCACAGATTATGATGACAGACACACAAAGACCAAAATGTTGCCACTGTAACAATCGAAATGAGGACAGGATATGTTATGAAAATAAGAAAATAGCATCTTTGCTGTAAAAACAATGGAGGTCAAATATTTATGATTGTTATTTTTATGGTCCTTTTCAGATCGAATTGGGGAAGAGAATAAATTTTACAGTTAAATTTTATTACAGCAACCATTTTTAGGCCCATGTATAAAGATGTTTCAATTCATCTGTATATATCCACAAATGTAGATGATGCTTACATGGAGAAAATCCTTTTATTCTCTGCAGATGAAATTCTATTGCACAAAAGTTAAAAAAAAAAAAAAAAAAAAAAAGAAAATGCCTTCATTTAAAACCAGGGATAATAGCTCATTGAAACAAATCCAAAGGCTTCAGGAGTGTAGCCATACTCACCACGCTTGGACAATTGCAGGTTGGTGAGGTTATTTAACCCATAGTTGGAAAATTTTAATTCAGAGTTAAGGTAATAGAGAACTTGGAGAGGGGGATTAACAGGAGATAACCGATATCCATTAAATATGGCACATGGAACTAGAACAGTCTACCCCAATGAGCAAAATAAAGGGTTCAGTTCGATATTCCAACCACCTGAAGAAGGCCGGAGCATACAACAGCTGAAACATTTTGAATTAAATATGGCAACAAAGATGAGGACAATCATCCGAATAATGTAAATACTAGACAAAAATTTCATGATGAATTCCACATTTTAACATAAAATTTACTTGGCTTTGTTCAATTGAGGATTTTATGAAACTGCATGAGATGTCTCTTAACTACAAATGTATCTAATACAAAATTACGGCAATTCTTTCTTTGGGGATGGGGCATCAAGATACTTGTTTATAAATTATTTGAGGCACCATAACCCAGCCTTTTCCCTTACTTACACTGTCTACAGAGTGTAAGTAAGGGAAAAGGCTAGGTTATGGGAAGTTTTGGGGGAAGGATAAAAAGAAGAACTAAGGAGAATAAAAAAAAATGAACGAGGATAAAGACAATAGAAGATGTCAATTGACATTACATTTAAATTTTTGAAGATTATAGTTGTCAGGGAAGCAAGTAAGAGGAAGGGAGTTCCACTGTTGGGAAGTGCGAGAAAAGCTGTTGGAGCAGAAGAGGCAGTTACATTTAACTGTTTTGATGGTAAAACAGTTGGGACAGAGATGCCCAACTAGTAGCATGCTTAAATTCATGCAGATGGGGCATCAGTAGAAATAGCTCGTCAGAGCAGATACCATGAAAATATTTATAGAAAAGACAGAGGAAAGCCACATTACATTGGTGAGAAAGTGACTGGAGTCGAGACCCCAAGTCGGGACTGATCACGTTGCATATCCGTCTTTGGATTTTGTCGAGAACCTCAAGATAAACAGCGGGGGGCACCAGACTATATATGGCAACAGTATTCCATACAGGGACGAATGGTAGACCTGTAGATGTGAAGGATAGATGAGAAAAACCTTCTGGCGCGAAACAGAGAACCAACTTTCCTTGTGGTAGATGCAGTAATTGATTCAATGTAGTTGTTCTACTTCAGGTCAGTAGAAAATGCGAGACCAAGAAGGCGCAGTGAGGTGCTCTTGTGGAGTTGAGTATAGGAGGCAGGGAAGTTTCTCTATGGTGAACAAATGACAGTTTCGTTTTGGATCCATTAAAATTCACAAGCCATTTCCTGCCCAGTCAGCGACAGATTAGAGATTGTTTTTGAGACCAACAGCCAGGTTAACTTTGTCAGCAATGCCAGATTTACTATTGAGACAGGAGTAAATGGTAATGTCATCTGCATAGATGGCAACTTGATGACGTCAGGAAGATCATTGATGAAGATCAGAAACAGTGTAGGACCAAGGATAGGGCCTTGAGGAACACCAGCATTCATGTGGGACAAAGTGGAAAAGAACCTGTTCAGGATAACCTTCATTTCACTGTTAGACAGGAATGATTGGATTAAATCAAATAATTGTCCCGTAATATTGTATCCCCAAAGCTTACATAGAAGGCCAGCATGCCAAATGTCTTAGATATAATCGAGAGCAACAGCTCGAACTTCACCATTATTATCAAGACCTTGGTATACATATTCAGTTATGGCTGTAAGCACATCAGTGGTAGGCCAGGCAAAGCAGAATCCATCTCTCCATTGCTTCACTGTGGCTGATTGGCACAGTGAAGCAATGGAGCAGCTTGGATTGAGGAATCGTATAGAGCCGAGTTTGAATTCCAGTTGAGTTTTTACATTCATTTATGTGCAAATACCTTTGAGAGAGGTATGAAGCCATCTATTCTCTCCCCAGCTATGAGTAAATAGCAAGACAGACCAAGTCCTAGTGTTGGGTAGCAGTAATCATTTAAATAGTGGTTTCTTAATTTGGTTTGGTTTGTTTTATGGCATATCAACCTAAATGGGTTATTTAATGCTGACAAAAATTTTTTTCAAAAATGTATTGCTGGTAATATTTATTTTTTTTTATACAAAGTATTTCTGGTATTAAAACCTATTTTTACACTTTCATAGTATTTTGACCCCTCTTGAGGTGGTTAAGTATTTGTTCATAGCTGGGATCCCAACAGCTGCCATCACCCTGGGCCAGGGTGGACCTGGGAACACCAGCAATTAAGGAGGTGGTTCCACGACCCTCAAAACCTCCTGATCAGAGGCCTTGCTGTTGAACGTAGTTTATTGTCTTGCCCAGGACATGGATGTAGTTTATCATCAAACCCAGGACAGATTCTTAATTTGAAATTCATGCATTTAAATTATAAGATATATATAGAATAAGTATTAAGAAAAGATGATTTGGCTTATATGTAAACTTAAAAGGTCTCAATTCTTATTGCAGACTATCCAGTCTGGATGGAGGAGGCATGTAACTAAAGGAAATTAATACAAATTTCAATTCTTAAATGTATACAACTGTCTGCTTACAGAAGATGTTCATGAAACCTAAACAAGGAAGAAGAATTACCTTTTATTCTTACCCCACACCCAAACTTTATTATTATATTTTATATATTATAATATTTAATTTAATAGTTTTAATCATCAATTAAAGTTTGACTTTCAACAATAAAACATGGGGGGAGGGGTCAAGAAATAGCAAAATGGTTGCGGAAATAATTTATAAATTAAAGAGAGCCAAGATAAGCAATTCCTTCATATTGCTTAAAGCATTCGTCATTCAAAGGCTCAAGAGAACTAAAAGCAATTAAGAAATCTATGTACAGCATTAAATATCAAGTTTCATTAAATTGTGAAAAGAAGGACCTTTATACATTACAGCAAAGGTTATTAATATATATGAATACATTATTTTATTAGTCAACAGATAAAATGCTAAAAGACTTGTCTATCCAGTTTTACAGATATTCTACTCAACAGGATAAAAATAATTCTATTTAATTTATTAGAATATAAAATATATAATTATTTATATATGCCACATAAAAACAAAACTATTGATACCAAATTTGAAATGGGTTTCATCAAAACAAAAAACACACAATGATAACATTTAAATTGTTCAATTTTTACACTAATGAATGACAAATCTTACCAATGATTATATAGTCCAAAATATTAGACATATTTAAGCCATCATAATATCCAAAATTACCCATTATTTACTTGTTTTATTTTGTTATATAAATGCTAATTATTGACCCCAAACAAATTTCAGACATGTTTGATATTAAAAATGTTATAACAGGATATTTAATTGTACAATATATATGAAAAAAACAAAAGGGGGATGTCAACTTAAACATATGTATCCAATAACAATAACGTTTATAGTGATTTTACAAGCATAGCTTAGATGTGGCACAAGGCTGAAAGTATGAGGCACCCAGTGAGGATCGAACTCACTACTCAGTAGTAATTGTTCTAGTGAGACAAGCTTGCTAACCATTACACTGCCTTAAGTTGCCCAACAATGATGTTTATAGTAATAAGGTATGTGTGTGTGTGTGTGTATACACACGTATATGCACGTGTTGAGACTGTAATCCTTCAGATGAAGAACCTTCAAAAAGAGGAATGACGAAAAAAGGAAAGAAATAACAAAAAAAAACCAAAAAAAAACACCAACTTACCTGACTCCTCATCACTGAAGTGAACTGTGGGTGCATTTAGGGCATCTGGGTTTAACAAGTGAATCTCATAGTAAATAAAATTGGGTTGTTCTTTTGGAAAAATAGGTCGGGTGGGGTCACAAGTGTATGCATCAGCATAAATTATGTGCCAGATACGAGGGTAGTGAAAATGAGCAACAGTGTGATTACCGGTTTTGTTGGTAAGTTCATCTGGTAGGGGAGGAAAGAAAAAAAGAAAAAATAAATAACTAAGTACAAAAGATTGGTAACAATAAAACAAATATGGTAAATGTTTAATACAATCATTCAGCAATGGACTTTGTTTTTCTTTTGTTGTTTAAGATTTGTACAAATTTTGCTCATGAATCAAAATATAATATTCACTATTCTACAGATTTAATTAATTTCAAAAGTTTCTAGAATCATTTGTCAAAATTTTGTTATGAAATACTGTTACCTAAAACAAGCCTATATACTTTAGAACATTATATGTATGATGGCCACCACCAGTGTGTTATATATATATATATATATATATATATATATATATTATACACACACACACAAGGAATTTATTCTGACCACTTTGGTCACCTTGTTTCTGATAATGTAAATGGCATCTCCCATGTGCTGTGTCTCTTCAAGACATGTGCAATGATGGCTCTCCAGAAATTCCTACTTATAGCTCATAGCTGGCCTCCCCTGTTCCTTTGATATGTCTTATGAGTGTCAAGCAAATGTCATCAAATCATTTCTTGTTATAAAAAATATATAAAATCAGTCAGTCTGGAGCACTTTGGGCAAGTTTTTATAAGTTAAATACATTTTGCGTTTATTTTTTTTGTCATGTAAAATGGTTTATATTCATAAATATAATGACAATGAATGTAACTTTATAAAAAACTTAAGTTCTGCTAAGCAAATGGTATACAACTTAGGAACAACTTATATTTATTGCTATAAACTTACATTCACTGAGGTCTTATTAAATGAATGTTTATAAATTGTTTTAGATTATAGAAAATGAACACAAAAAGTATTATTATAAGAACTGATTTTTAGAATGTTTCCTATTTGATGACATTAGCCATGATTATTATCCATGTGTGTCTTATAGAAATTGAGTACAAGATTGGAAAGGCTGGTTCTGCCTTCGATAATCTTCATCACAGGCTTTAGAATACCTGTGATGTTTCATTAAAAGGTGAAAGTTGATGTGTACAAGTTCATAGTACTGACATCACTACTTTATGGTGCAAACTATTGGACTCTGTACTGACAACACATCAACCAACTTGATGCCTTCCACAGGCATTGCCTACATATGATCTGCAACAGAGAACTGGGTGATTGCATTAGAAACAGTGGAGTTCTCACTAAATGCAACATGACAGGTATTGAAGCAATCCTAATAAAAATCCAACTCAGGTGGGCAGAACATCTTTCTCATATGAATGATAAACTTCTAAAATTACTTCTCTTTGGCCAACTTCCAACAAGCAGGTCAGTTGGAAGGTCACTCTTGTGTTACAAAGACAAACTTAAAGACACTCTGAAGTGATGCAGCATCCCCAGTTCTTCCTGGGAAAACAAAGCATCAGAGCAAAGGAACTGACACCTACTTCTTATCTATACAAAGGTTTGAGTGAGGCCAACATGGAACATTGGGATCAACCGCATGCAAATACTAAAGAAAAGATGGTAGCATGCTGTTCCTCTCAATGATAGACTTACTTGCCAGTGAGGCTTTGTCACATGCAGCAAAGCTGGCTTTTACTGTCCACTCATGGAAACATGTGGCAATTGATTCTCGAGCAAAATGGTGTAACCAGTTTTGTTAAATTCAACTTACAAAGTCTGTTTATTTTTATTGTATTTTTTCTAATTTTCAAATGAAATGTATACCAAAATTGTGGATAATCTGTCTGAAGTTTAGGTTTTGTTCAAGCACCCACAACTGTTTCGGTCATTATCAAGAACTGGGTGTTGTCAGTATCGTAGAAAAGATTTTGTTGACTATCTTCTGGCACAATTGGAAAAATACAATAAGAAAATTAAAAAGAGTGACCTTTTTGATTGAATTTAACAACACTAGTTTGGATGAATATTTGGTGCTTATATAGCACACACACACACATACAGAAGGACAGTTAGTCCAATAAACAAAACTTACATGTTCAAAAATTTTATTAAGCTGAAACTGATTTCTTGAAATATATTTTAAAAGAGAAATATGAAAAAAAAAAATAGATACAGACATAAATCTTTAATAATATTTTGAAAATATAACAACATGATCAATAAAATGTCCTTAAAGTCAGTCATCAAAGGCTTACTTCAATAATTTGAGTTTTTCCCCACCCTTATCTAAATTTGTGAGTGAGAGGCAAAAGGAGTGTTGCAATTGAAGGCAATGTGTTGTGTCAGAAAGCACTAAAATTTTAATTATGGTTTTAAAATAGAGTATCATGTTATTCCTGATGATTTTTTTTTAATGTACCTAGGCCAAGAGTCAATCTACTACTGACAAGAAAGTCCTGCTATTTTATATTTTCTGTACAATATGGTAATAGTAGGAAACAAAATGAACATATATCTCACATATGTTAAAATAGTAATTCATTCAAGCAAAAAACGTGTATGACAAAGTTCCCAGCAATCTTTTCCTTTTGAAAATTACAGACTAAATCAGGTGGGAAAAATTTTTTCATGGGAGACCACATCATTGTTGGCCTTGTAAAAAGTGAGTCCAAATCCAAATAACACAAATTTCACAATGGTAATATAAATTACACTCCTACATGCATGATATTTGTATATTCATTTGCTTATTAAAAAGTTTTTTGTGAACAGATTATATGAAATTAATTGAATATTTAATTCATTTGTTCTGATTAATGAGATTTGTACAGCTGAGAAAAAATCTTGTATAATAAGAAATCCTCGTTAAATATTACGAGACATAATGAAGCCCAGAAATGGCATCATGTTTATCTCTAGTTGGAGTTGTAACAAGGATTGGACATTGGCATGGTGTAGGATGTCATAATCGTTTCAGTAATTTTATATACAAAATCCACAATATGTTGATTTTATAGGAACCTCACGTTGCCGGGAACTGCAGTTCACTATTAAATAAATATGCTTTTGTCTCTGTATTTTTCATTCCTCGTTTTGAATAGATTAATATTTTGTGTAACAAAAAAAAAAAAAAAAAAAAAAAAAAAAAAAAATTTTTTTTTTTCCCCCTTAAAACTGATATTTAAAAAATAATGATTTTTGTACTCCTACAAGTTGCACAAAATTATCAGGTGGGTTGCAGTTTGCCCATCCTTGGATTAAATAGATAACTGAAAACTTTTGCATACACCAAACAAATTACTAATTAAGCATTTTTTATAGACCTTTTACAGGTGGCAACTACAGATAACATTCCCTCATTATATAGTATGGGTGTTCAAATAAAAAGAAAATTATGAGGTTGAATCAATAAAATATTGATCAACTGAATTTTTATATGAAATTCTCACTGTATAATTTTCAATTTGATAAAATATTTGGCTAAGGAAGGAGATTACATTGAAAAATATTTGCTGTTTAAAATAGATTCTTTTTTGTTCATTAGACTGTGGAATTATTGATGTACCCATATACAAATACAGTGTAACCCGGATATAAGAGAATTGTCGGGACCGGAGAAGAAGTCTCTTATATCCGGGTTTGATCTATATGTATACATTAACACAGGCTCTAATTTGGGACCAGAGAAAATCTCTTATATCCGGGTCTCACTGTATCCGTTATTATTAAACTAGTTAAGAGACATTAACAGTTATACTGACAAAGCCATGTCTAAGGGAAAATAATTTGGTTATTATGTAACAGGCTCTCCATACATACTAAATTCATATTTTCTTGTAAGAAAAAAAAAAAAAAAATCTATTAAAATTACAGATGATAATGATTATTGATGAATTCCTTTATTTCTTTGTTATTAAAATGCTTACTAAATAATCTTTTATGTTTTAAAATAAATTTTTATAAATGAAAAAGCTTTCTTGAAGCTTTCATTTTAAGCTTTAACTGAAAGGTAAAGGATTGAATTTACAGAAATTATATTGAGTGGAATAAACTTTTTTTTCTAAAATAGCTGATTAACCATTTTTTTTTAGTTTTCTTTCATCATAATGTAATTCTCTGTATTAAAATAATCTTACAAAAATAAAATATACTTTTCTGAAATTTTATTTGACGAATATTAGCTGATTTAAAGTATAATTAATCCAATCTGAAAAAAAATAATACTTTAAATTTAAAATAACACACAGCAGCCATTTGTATGTAACTGACAAGCAATAAAAGTGTTGATAAGTTTATTTTTGTCCTACGGATACTTTATCTGTTAAAACATAATTTAAGAAAATGACACTGTTTTTATATAATTTTTAAGTACTCAATAAAAATATCACCTAATGAGATTAATGTAGAATTTTAAGATTTAAAAAAAATTATTATGAAGACAATTGTAAAATTTTTTTTTTTTTTTTAAGACAAGAGTGTCCTTAATAAATAGAAGCCTTTATTAAATGTCAGTGTTATTGCATTTTTTTATTTTACAATTTGGAGCAGATTTGAGAAATTAGTAGCAGCTTGGAAAAAAAATTAAAAAAAAAAAAAAAATTCATGTTTTACTTTCTCAAGTAGTCCTGCTTTTAACTAATAAAGCGAGTTTTGTGATGAAAATTTAATTTCTCAAAATTTCATAAATTTACATAAGTGGTGGATAACATGTAGAAAAAATATTTTACCAAAATTTTCTTATAAAAAAAATTTTTTTTAAATAATTCGTTTGTGAATAAGCCCTAAAGTGACATTAAAATCCGACAATTATTTAACTTTTGCAGGAATTTCCATATTAGTGTGTTTTTCATGGGAAAACAAGGATGCTAAAACACTAATTGTAAATATTATGCTGATTGTTAATGTAAAAAAAAAACAAAACAAAATTTCTAACATGCTAGAAAGGATTAAAAAAAAAAAAAAAAGTAATAAAATAATTAAAAATACTTTGGTCTTAATTTGAAACATTTTGATAAAAAAAAAAAAAAAAAAAAACTTTTAAGTTTCGGGTCTATTTTCATCAATAAAAAGTGAAAGTACCCATTTTAAAAGTATCACTATTAACTTTAATATATTAAGAGAGAATGGGGGGGGAAGGAGAGAGGAGGAAAAACCATGTTTCTATACATTGGACAAAATATAGATATCAGAATTGTTTTTCTTTTTCTAATGGTATAAAGTTTATGAAAACTGTTATGAGATTTAAATGCAAAGTTTTTAATCTTGTAAGAACCCATTAAATTACTTATAATAATTTAGAAACAAAAAAACAAAACACTACAAATTAAGCATTCCAAGAGCTATATGAATAATTAGAAACTATTTTGTTAATACAATTCTATTCCCACACAAATTCATAATGACTTCAATTGTTCAAATAACTTTCAAAACAATCACTTTTCTCAAAATACAGATCAAGTTTCACTGCTGAATAACTTTCATTTTTAAAATGTAACATGAAACTAATTTTAAGAGAAACCGATTTTGATTCCAACATGAAAACTATTTTATTTCATTGATAATAAATGAAAATAAAACCAAGAAAAAATTGTTTTAATTAAGCAATTAATTACTATGTTGGTACCTTTTGTTTCATTGACGGTAAGATGATTAAATTTCAAATCTAAATTGTTTGTCCATTTAAAATACTATATTTATTAGAAAACATTTTCAGTTTAAATACAAGGGTCATAAAAATGATTTCAAAGGGCTACACATTTTGGCTTATACTCTTTTCCTGCTAGCCAGGAGTTGTTACTAGACAGAAAAGTAAATTAGATTTTGTGACATATATCTGTTTCAATTTCATTCAAATTGTGTGTGCACATGTTCTAATTTAATGACTTTCCTAAAAAAATATTTCTACAAAATTAAACTTTAGAAAATCTATTTCTCTAAAATTTTTTGAAAAGTTCAATAAAATGTTTAATTTCTTAAATTATATTGAAGTTAAAGGTGTAAAAATAAAAAATAAAAAATAAAAAAAAAAATTAATGTAATTTTAAAGTTTCCAAATTCTTATTTTATTTTGATTGAAATATTAAATAACAGTGTTTTAATAATCAAGAAATAAAAAAAGTACTCATCAGAAATCATTACATGCTGTGATTTTAATAGATTTATTTTTTGTTAAATTGAAAGTGTGAATTTAACAATTCTGGAGTTTCTATTACATAATAACCAGATCATTATCCTTTGATATTTGCATTCTAAGTCATTTTGCATAATTATCCTATAGTGACAGATATTTGTAATTTTATTTTTTTAACCATTTGGACAGCCAAGCTATGGAATAAGGAAATATTATCTTCAGTTAAAACATTATAGTTGTACCCATCTATCTTCTTTGGATACCTGCAATGTTCCCAGAATTTCAAATTGAACTCCTTATTCAATATTAAGTAATGATAGAAGTCAACATTGAGAAATAAATTAAAAAAAAAAAAAAAAAAAAAAAAAACAGTCAGCTCTATTAACCTCCTTCAGTAGACCAAGCATAGAAATACCATGAGAGCCTTTGACTAGGAAAGAAGAGGCATTAGGTGCAAGGCTCTGAAATGACACTACCAGAGTCTCATTGAACAATAGCCTAGTAGATACAAGTGTTAAGCATATGCAATATGATTGGTAATTGAGAAATTATTCCTTAGTTCAAGCAATAAAATCCATATATGCAGCATCAAAGATGAATTGACAAGAGTTATTTTCCCTAGCTTGGATGACAAAACGAGAAAAGCCTTAGATTTTAATAAAGGTTTCAGTTTGACATTTTCAGAATATTACAGGCATCTGAAGAAATGTGGTTATACAAACAAAATGATGTTAGATTGAATTAATCAGTGTGTAATATTTTAAGTTATAAGAATATTCAAAGATATTTTAAAAGTTAAAATAACAGGAATAAAATGTAAGTGAAAATAACAACGCTAAAAAGCAAAAACCTTATATTGCTGGGAAACAATTGTCTACTCACATGCTATCCTGGCTTTATCAAACTTGCGTTGACACTGGATATCAAGATTAGCTTCTTTCCAATCTTCATTCAAAAAAAGATAAAGTTTAGGCACTGTTTTCCCAGTGTCATTTAGGGTATAATTGATGAGAGCTGTGTCCCCTAAAGAAAAAGGGAAAAAAAAAAAAAATTATTTTAACGGGATTCTCTATGTGGCTGGCTACTGATTAGTAACAAACAAAATCTCATCATTTAATTATGAATCTTGTAAACTCATTATCCGAAAAAATGTTGTGGCCGTTTTGAATTTTTACAACACATTTCTTTCTTAAAATTATATTTGGAATTTAAGCAATAAAGAGCTATATGCAATATAGATCTTCACTTATATCAATTATGGGACAAATATTCTGAAATTGATACATCCTAGCTAATTTCAAAAAGTACTCTGTACCTGAGGTATATATATATATAGGCTCAAACACTAATATTCCATGGTTACAATTTATTACATTGGAATCGGAATCAGGATTCAATTCATCAGACCTACAAATTCAAAAATTTTTGAGTTTGTAGGTCTGATGAATTGGATCCTTATTACAATTCCAATGTAATAAATTATAACCATGGAATATTAGTGTTTGAGCCTTTTATATTATATTCTTGTTCTGTCTTAGACACTGAGCTCTACCTGGATTCTATCCTCTTGGAAATAAATAAATAAATAATATATATATATATATATATATATATATATATATATATATATATATATATATATATATATATATATATATATATTTTTTAATTTATTTTGTTTAAACATTTTTTTTGATGGATACTCATATTAAAGTAGAAGCCCCGTTTTTTTTTTAATTAAACAGTATTTTTTATCCAACTACATCTACTGGCTTGAATATTTGAGAAATCTTGTTAGAAAAATGTGTCCTCCAGCAGGACTTGAACATGCATCCCCTATGGGGAAACATCACTGGATCTGACATGCCTAACCGCTCAGTCACGTAGGACCTGTGGTCAAACAAAGCCTGAATAGTGCCTTTTGAACACACACTTTCTTCAGATTCTCGAAACATCCATATCTGCTTTGTATCATTTCCTAATGTAAACAAAAACAATTTTTTAGGAAATTGATTAAATCTGACTTATTTTTAATTTATTGTTTAAACGATATTTTTGAAGGATACTCATATTCAAGTTCTGCTGGAGGACGCATATTTTTCTGACAAGATTTCTCGCCAGGAGATGTGGCTGGTTAAAAAAAATACCGTTTAATTAAAAAAACACACAAAAAAAACAAACAAAAAAAATAAACAGAGCTTCTACTTTTGATGAGTATCCATCAAAATGATTCAACAAAATAAATTAAAAATAACAATATATTCAATTTAATCCATTTCCTATATATATGTGTGTGTGTGTGTATATATATATATATATATATATATATATATATATATATATATATATATATATATATATATATATATAATAAAAAGTAATGGATTTTTATTAATCCAACAGAGCCGTTATCAATTTAGCACACTGTACATAGGTGACTTCATTTGTCAAACAAAATGTTTGTACAACTATTGCATGCAACTCTAATCACCAGACAATAGCACAGTTGAATTTTACGCTAGTGTTGTCATATCCTACTACGGCAACATGTAAATGACTAAGTAAAAATCAAAGATGATGCTAGTGCAGTTGTGTGGCCACTTATACCCAATGGATGAAGATGAAATACTTATGAATATTGCAGAGTATTAAAAGGTTAAACTTTATTTTTAGTGGATTTTTAGTATGAGTAGACGCTCCATTTATTTATTAAACAGTATATTTATTTATTTTTGCCTACCAGCCTGAATATTCAAGAAACCTTATTAAAGAAAAATATAAGATCTCCAGCAGGATTCAAACCTATATCCCCCTTTGCAGGAGAAAGTGTCATTAAATGCAATGTCTTCTAAACTGACACAGCCATGGAGTGCATTGCCAATAAAGCAAAGATAAATAATACCATATAACTGAAAATCCCTATCAGATTTTTAAAAGTTCATATCTGCTTGTAAACAAAGCAATTTCTAAAGTAGTAATGATTTTTTTTATTTATTAATCTGACAGATTTTATCACTTGAAATATTATTTTAGTGGATACCCATATTTGAGTAGACGCTCTGTTTATTTATTAAATAGTATATTTATTTTTGTCTACCAGTCTGAATGTTTGAGAAATCTTATTAAAAATTTACCCTCTCTGGTAGGATTTGAACATGCATCCCTCTGAGCAGATAGAACCACCATTAAATTGGTTATGCTCTGACCAACTCAGCTACAAAGAGCCAATCAGTAAGGAAAGGCTGCAATTGTACTGTTTTTCTTTAAAAAGATTTCTTGAATATTCAGGCCCATAGATAAAAATAAATAAATATACTGTTTAATAAATAAATGCAGTGTCTACATAAATACTAGTAGACACTAAAAATAATGTTTAAAGTGCAGATATGAAAAATTCCAGGAGATCTATGTGAAAAGAGAAATTTCATTTAAAAAGGTACAATTTTGCCTTTGTCTGATTGGTTCTCTGTAACTCAGTTGGTCAGAGTGTAATGAATTTAATGGTAGCTCCCTTCTCTTCATAGGGATGCAGATTCAAATCTTGACAGAGAATGTAGATTTTTCTTTAATAAGATTTCTTGAACATTCAGGCCATCAGACAAAAATAAATATAGTGTTTAATAAATAAATGAAACATCTACTCAAATGAGGAGTCACTAAAAATAACGTTTAAAGTGATCATAAAGGGATACATTATTTTTTATTACTTTAAATATTATGTTTAGCAGATATATGTGTTCAAGTTGACATTGTCACTTTTCAAATGGTGTAAACTCTACTGACCTGAGCATGTGGAAGACATTTTCTTTAAGACTTTCAAATACACAAGTCAGTAGACAGACTTACACTGTTTAAAAACAGGGATGTCTACTTGAACATGTGTATAGTCTAAATATAACATTTGAAAGAGAAAAAAAAAGAATAAAAAGATATTTAGACAGCAAGTAGTCATCCAAACAAATTTAATTAAAAAAAAAAAAAAATTTTTGTATTGTATTTTTCCAATTTTCAAATAAGGCATTACATATTGGGATCAAAATTATGGATAAACAATGTCAATTTCATGTTTGTGTTGTTTTGTTCAAATATTTTCAAACATCTCAGTCATTTTCAAGAAGCAATATTTCTTTGTCGACATCCTGGCATTCTTTGGAATGCTGAAGGTTTGAAATAGTATGGTGATGTGTCACGTGTTGCAAAATCTCATTTATCATTTATTTTAAAATGATAAAAACTCAAAAGCTTTCCGAATTTACTCAAATTCGGAGTGTAATTGGTTGCAAATTTTTTAAAAACCTTAAATCAATTAGGAGACAGGGTTAGGGTTTGCAAATTTTTCATTTATAATAATAATAATAATAAAAAAAAAAAAAAATGTAAGCAAGTACAATCCCTGAAGACTGAATTTCCAAAAAGAAAAAGTTAGGGAAAAATAGTTCCACAAGTGGAAAAAAAAAAAAAAAAATGGTCAATTTGAAATACTGATTGAATGAAGGAAAACAAAAACAGATGAAAATGTTGGTAAGGTAACTAATTTTATAGACATTGCTGTAATTAAGCATGCAGCAATACCAAAGTTTAAAATTATGAAAAAAAAATATTTGTACCTAAATGTTAGATTTTTAATGCAATTATTAAAGTAAACAGAAAATTTAGATTTTTACAATGAATTCTGATGCAGAAGTGGGGTCAAGAGGTCAAATAATTGGCTAAAAAGTTTGCCCTTCATTTGTATCAAATTAAAAAAAGCCTCTTAAATTTTATCACAAGCTTGCCTTAAAAATAAAATGTTTCTGTTTAAAATGGGGAAAAATGTTTTTAAGCTTTTAGGTCGTGCCGTATTTGAGGTCATCAAAGAAAATACACTCCCAATATTACAATTTATTTAATAAATTTGTAATAAAGTGCACGCAAAGAAACCAATTTCATGTTTTCTTTGACTTTGCTGAAATGACGTGGGGGGTCTTACAGAGCATTAAATTCAAATACAATTTAAAAAAAAAGAAAAAGAAAAAAGATTATTAAAATTAAATTGCTCATTTTTTTCCAACTGAACTTGTAATCAAAATGTTATATTTAAGTTTAAAGCTTTCATGAAAAATCCTTTGAAAAAAATAAATAAAAAAGATTTGTTGAATCACATTTACAGACGGAAAAAGAAAATCATTTCGTTTTTTTTTTTTTTTCCCACTCTGCAATGCTAGCTAAAGTTTTCAAAAAGATAGTGACTTACTTACTGTAGACTAGTGTAGTTGTACTAGTAATATTTTAAAAAAATAAATTAATTAAAAAAGCTTTCATGTAACTTAGATGCAAGCTATTTTTTTTTTAAATTTAGTTACAACAATTTCATGAAGGAAGCAGTTTTATTTTTTACATTTTAATTTTTTCTCACTTGGGGAAAATAGAATTGAAAGTTGTCTTTTGTTAAAGCCGGAGGAAAAAGAAATATTTTTTTTTTTTTATTAACATTATTTATTCAAATAAAAATTTAAACAAGAAATCAATATCCATCAAGAAAATCATATTCCCTATTTTTCTTTTTATTTTTGTGTTGTAATAATAATCTTGAAGTAAGAATTATCTCCATAGTTAAAAACTAAAAAGTAAGTAAAAATAAATAATTTTTTTCGTCACTTATTTTCTAAAGAGTAAAAAATTCATTGAAAGTTAAAAACTTTGGTGTCACAAAATAAAAAGGGACTAGAAAAACAAAACTGAAAGTTTTAAGTATTAAAAAAAGAAAGATGAGCCTCAGCAGCTGTTAAATGAACATCAAAATATTCAATCAATTCAACGTGATTTCTGCAACTAAAGCGCATTTAAAAAAATAAATAGCAAATGTATTTAAATTATATGAATAATACGATTTTCTAGTGAGCACTTAATCTTTGAAAAATTAAAAATTATGAAAATTAAAAAGATAATATTTCCCTCTTTATTTTTTTAAAGAAAAACAAAAGATCAATTTTTAAAAAGATTTTAGAGTTTTTAAATGAAACAAATTTGTCTCCCCCCTCCAAGAGTATCTAGATTTGATTACTACGCAAAGTAGAGGCGGAAAATATTCTAAATTAATTTAATTAAAAAAAAAAAAAAAAAAAAAAAACTTAAGTAATCAAGCAAGACATCTTGTAAGATTTTAAAGTTGGGAGTTGCATGGCAACTTTTTTTTTTTAGTAATAAAGTTACACGTCACATTTTTTTTTTTTTTTTTATCTACGAAGTCCGGATAAATATATTTAAAACAAAAATAAACTCAAAAGTTTTAAAGTGAACACTCCTCTAAAAATAAAATTTAATAAGAGCTGATGAAGACAATATCATTAAAACTAAAAGTAAGACATACGTAATAAATTGAAAACATCAAGAGATCTACAATAAGGTTGATCCAATAAAAAAAAAAAAAATACATTCTTTTTCAGGCCATAACCAAATTCTCACGATGGATAGAAACAAAAAAAAAAAAAAGAAAATCATAGGTTGGGTTATTCAAGTTAAAAATTGGCGATAATGCAGCCTCATTTCTTTTTACAAATAAACCAATATTTTAGTTTGTTTTTTTACTTTTAAACCTGGTTATGTTTTTTAGTTAATAAAAGTAAACTTGCTAGTAATTTTCTTTTAAGTTTTAGAACTTGATTTAGCAACAATATTGTAACTAAGTAAAAACAATATCCACGCTTCTTATAACGAACTAGAATAATATTTCTATAGTCAGTTTGTAAATAATTTGGATATTTATATTTAAAAAAAAAAAAAAAAAAAAAGGGAAAAAAAGAAAAAGTTTTTAAATACATTGATCTTTGTTTTGGGAAGATCAGAAACTCCAATATAGAAATGTGTGGGAGCGATCGAAAAACAAATCCTTTTCTCTTTTTTTTTTTTTTTTTTTTGAGATTTTTCTCCTTTTTACAACAAATTAATTTAATTTTCGCTTGAAAATAAAATAAAAATTTAAAACTAATATTTCGTAATAGAATTCCGGGTTTATCACAATTAATCAAATCTAATTTAAAAACCGAAAAATATTTTAGAAATTAAAAAAAAAAAAAGAGTGGCAATCAAATATCAAAAAATTACGTTTTTGTTTTTTTTTTTTATTTCTACATATTATTAAATTTTTTTTGAGTAAAAATAATGCAATCGAGAGAAAAAATTATTTAATATATGTTTATGGTATTATTTTTTAGGATGAATATAACAGCCGATAAAAAAATAAAAATAAAATAAAATAAAAAAATAAGTAAAAAAATAAGACGAACCATGAAAACTGAAAGCTGTTAAATATTGTCCAAAATCTCTTTGGGCTTCATCGGACCGTAGTACCCCACGAATTGTTTTACCTTCACAGGGTCGACTAAATTGAAGACAGATTCCAAAGAAGAAGAGAAGTAGAAAAATAGTGTCATCAGTCGCTAACCAAAATCTTCTTTTCTTATGTTTCTTCATTTCATAAACTTAACAAAAAAAGTCCAGTTGTTGTTGTCGTGGCGGCAAATGTTGTTGTTGTTGTTACCCGGTGTCCCATGAGTTTGAACACCGATTCACTTGGACGATTTAAGCGACAAAGAAAAGGCAAACATTGGTGGAGGGAAAAAAGAAGGAATTAATACGAGAACGTTAAATTTCAATAATTTGTAAAGATTTTTTTTTTTTTTTAAGTCTTATATAGACATTTTCATATATTTATATATACACTTATTTTGCAATAGTTTACTCTGCTCTATTTCTAGTTGTAAAGTAAAGCCACGGAAGGGGAAAAATCTAGGCGAGATAGAAATAAAATAAATAAAATAAACTCGTTCCTGAAAGAAGCAATATTCTTTTCTTATGCACAGCCTCCAAGAAAAGTCCACGCTGGAAGAAAAAAAAAATGAAATTGCCGGAAACCGATGGCATCCAAGTGCTGCAAACCGGAGGTCAGTGCCACGTGACGACTGTTTACCTTTAGGGACAACGTGGTTACAGTTGGGGCTTAAAAGCCCATAATTTTTTAATAAGGGTTCGGGAATTTTTAAAATCCCAGTTTCTCCATACATTACAGTTTGTTAGTTTTTGGGTTTTTTTTTTATTTGAATGTCAAGTTTTTCTAGCAAATTCATCTGGTAGGAAATATTTTGTACACAAAAAGTGACAAAACCTTTGGCAGCCCTGTACGTTGCTATTGTGTCGTGATACTTTAATTTATTTTAGCCAAGAAGCGTGAATTAAACGTTAATTTTGATTGAAGCATTGTGTTATTGTTAAAGTGTTTAACTTATCCATATTTAAAACGTTAAACTTAAATAATAAATCAGTTGCGAATTTTGAAGTATTGCAATTTTTGTATCTCTTCACTCACGTCGCAATGTCATCATTTTTAAGATGAATTTCCATTATTTATTCACAATGTAGTCACTACACCTTAAGTAACATTAACAAGGATGAGTGAATAATCGCGAAAAAAGGAAAACATACACGCTTCCAAAAATGAACGTGAATTTAAAAATGGTCTAGGAAATGGAGGGAACTGACGTAAACAACAACAGTAACACTGTCTATTGAACAGTTCCACTTAAGAACGCCATTATTATTATTAAATCAATATTAATTTATATCGTAATTTTAGTGATTGATAAGAAATTGTCATTAAATGTTTTTCTATTCAGACCAATTTGCGCGTTAACAGTGATTATCAGCTAGGCAAGTGGGGTTGGCGTTGGCATGTCTAGTTCATCGGGATTCATACCTTGGGAAAACTGAATTTATTTATGTCTAAGAGAAGGATAACGATATGAAATAATAATCCTTATTCCCAACACAGTTACATACCCACATACATACCATATTAAAACACGCATAAACTTTATTTTATAGTACCCCATACAGACAATATTTACAAACATGCCAAAAAGATCACTATTACACAATACAAGACAACACACACTTTTTAAATCAGTTTCTGTTGGTTATAAATCAACATCACCATGTAAAATATTTGACCAATCAGAGAAAATTAAAATCCTATTTTTTTTTTCGAGCTTACTTCCAGGAAAAAATTCTCATAAAACCCCACAGATTTCAACTTTCAGCAGCAGAGATGTGACTATCTCCAAGCCTTTCAAACACAAGAGGAGATGTGGCTATATACCTTTTTCCTTTCCCCCAGTTCATGCTAAATGATATGTGTCGGTAACTTCAAATGAATCATCTCCAACAACAGCTTGGATGATAACAGGCTTATTTAAATCATAGTTTTTTCTGTAGACCAACTATCCAAAGAATTTAACTAAATACTATTTTTACTCCTTTTTGACTCTTTTGAATTCATGTATATATGTTTGTAAATACAAATAACTTATTTAACAGGCATGAGACCATGTTTTCTTTATTTTATTATTGTTTGGAATTTGGACATTCGGAATTTTTAATATAAAAATAACCAGGATAACAGAATTTCCTACATAACTTTGACTTCAAAACTTTTACCTCATAAAAAGCTTACCTGCTATAGAAACCACAGCAGCAATACCAGTATGGTGAGGTTGTGGCAATATATATATATATATATATCAAAATAAAAAGAAAGAACAATCAGATTTATAATCCGCAGTTTTTTAGCATTTATTTTTAAAACCAGTGTTTGATACACAGTAGCGCATAATATTATAATATTATTTTAAAATATGTTATTCATTGTGACACAGAAATTAGCATGTTTTGGAAATAAAAACTAAACTTTAAATTAAAATTAAAGTTTTTGTTCCACTCTCAAGCGATGTTGAATAACGTTCGAAAACATTTTTAGCTAAATAGTATTATATAGTTTAAGTTGGAGGGGGACAAGGATTACAAAATTTTAAAAAGGTGTTGCCTTTTTTTGACGAATCAGGATACAAGTCTAATTTAAGATGGCAAAGTGTAAATATAGGTTAATGGTTAGGTATGGATTTGTAATTTCTGCCTGTCCATACTGGCTTCCTTATATGAGAACATATCCTGTCTGTTTTTTGTTTTTTTATTTAGAGGCATACATGAGATACACTATAATACATTGTCTGTATTCAGCTAAAAGAATTTTGTTAAATCAATGCTGTTAACTCACATGAAAAATACTGGAAAACAAATAACTTTCAAATCAAAAATTCTGATTACTAAGAAGAAAATTAAAAAGGCTGTAATTAATTGATGGCTATTTTTCAGAACGCATGTCTTTTGTACTTGTTACAGAATTATTACTTTTGACCATGGCAGAGAATATTCTGCTGGCAGTATTCTTTGACTGGTAAGTAGTAGATTGCTGGAACTAAACAGAGAGAGCAGTCTACAAAAGATAGAAAATGTACATATCCTTAGTACTGTAGTAGTCAACCTGAAAAAAGAGAGAAAACAATAAAGCTATAGATATGCTTCCTTCTAACTGTAACAGGATTGAGGAAATAGACTTAATATAAGAAAAGATAAATAGGTGGGTGTTTTTAGTCAACAAACAAATTTTATATATGGTTTACAACTTTTCCATGAATGCTTAAAGGTATATGCATATATTATACCATAAATTCAGTTAATAGAATTTTTTGTGTGACAGAATTTAGTGTGAACAATTTTTTTAGACTCTGTAAAGGAAAGTTCTTAATGGGGTACTTGGAAAGAGAGAAGAAATATCTTGATTTTCTCCACTCTCCAAGGTCCACTATAAGCATTAATACATCAGTGATATACTAACACCTTATACAACAGAAGGAAGGACTAGAATAACCCAAAGAAGTGAATTCCAGAAATAACTTTTACCTGACAATACTTTATATGCACCATTAAAGTACTCCAATATAAGTCATACTAAGATGCATCACACACACACACACATATATTTATATGAATATGATAAATTGTCCCATACAGGGAAATTAAATTATATACATAAAAAAAACAAGCAGTGAGTGAAGGTATGTGAAGGGGGTTAATAAAAAATGTTTTATAACATCCCTAAGAGGGATATAGTATAGTCTTGCTGATTGTCTAATGTTCCTATTTAGGAAGCATGCTATTTTGTCATCCACTGTGGTCCCACAAATCATTATTGGCTATGGCATCCATCTCACAGCAATTAAACTATTCTTGTCAACAAGCTGTCACATGACCCTTAAGAGCTCCTTGACATCAGTTAGTTTTTTTCATGTCAAAATGGAGATAATCATCTTTACCTTAATGTCTCTGTGTAAAGAATTGTCTTTGATCCATAGAAAATACTTTGTTAATTGGTTGACTATTTTTATATTTATAATATTCTAAAAACTAATACTAATTATTAAAACTATTAGTATTAAAACTAATGCAATGCAATATTTATCATCTACCAATTTACAAATTTTATCTGAAAACAATTTTTATTCATACATTTATAAAATTACTAAATTTACTAAAATTATTAATATATTTACTAAATTATTACAATATGTGATCTAACAATAAGGAAATCCTTATTATTTACCATTTTATAAGGTCCAAATCAACAATTAGCCAATGTTTTACCAACCATACCAATAAAATTATTATTATTTATTATAAATAAACAGTGTAAATAAATAATCTAATAGTGTTTATTATTTTTCTTTTCAATTTTCAAGAACATATGTTTAGGCTTTATTACAATTCTAATCATCGCTTTTTAAAACAAACATTGCCAAAGAGTGAGCTAGTTAAAATAATAGTGATATCAATGGAAAAAAAAAATCCTTTTGACACTCCATTTTTTTGCAGGCACAAAGGTCCAAGTTAGCCAATTGTTTTCTATTATTTGAATATTTTGTTAACATTACTGGGACTATTGTGTGGAGCTTATATGCAGAAAACATTTGCACATTTCTTTCATTATCTTGAAAGTGTAAACTTCCAGCTAATCATAGATCCCCTTGATGTTTACAAAAGAATATTCTCAGAGAATAATATTGTTAAAAACAAATATTAAAAGCACAAACTTTCATGTAATACAGAATATTTACATATAATGAGACATTATAACTTAATAAAATATGACCAAAACAAATGTTTTTAGTAATCATCAATAAAAGTACTGATATAGTATATCGAAGTGTTTAACCAAAGTGATATGGTTGATTGATTTGCTTAACAGCATATCACCTCATTCTGAGTCATTTAATGCTGAAATTTAAATTTCTTGGGAGCTTGGAAGTAATAAAAATATGTTATTCTGCTTTCACAATTGAATACATGGTAGATGATACTCAGCTTTTGTGCATATACATATTTGTGTCAACATAATTACTAGAGGTGGTGATATGTGTGTTTTATGTCATAGTTTTGTTGAAGTTATATTTTGTAATAGAGTTTGATTGTAGAAATTGTAGGGTATTACATGGATTAGTGTCATGGAAGAGTTCTTTCATGTTGGTGGTTTGGTAGTATTTTAAATACACATGGGGGAAGTTGCTACAATTTGTTAGTATGTGTGTATTGTTGGTAATTTTACTATAAATATGTATTGTTGGTAATTTTTTCCTGTAAAAATGTATTTTTATACATTCATTGTGTTTTACTTTTGTTTGGCGGGGGTCACTATTTACACATGGTGGCGACCCTTACAGGTGCTACCACCCTGGGTTAGGGTGTACCTGGTAACAAGAGCAATTAAGATGAGGTTCCATACACCTTAAAATCTCCAATCTCCCAATCAGAGACTCTGCTGCTGGATGTAGTTAATCGTCGTACCTAGGACTAAAGTGATATGGTATTTTGTTCAAACCAGTATGCTTCTCAAAACAGTCATACTAGAAAATAGAACAGCAATAACTTTTTTTTAATGTTATGTTATTTCTCTTTTTTAAGTGATTTACTAAGCATAGCTTAGATGTGGCACAAAGTTGAAAGTAGGGAGCATCCAGTGAGAATCAAACTCACTACTCAAATTCTTTTCTCTGGGTTGCATTTTTGGAATGAAAATTTGCTTGTGTCTCACCAAATTTTATGTGATAAAATGTACATTTAAAATAAAAAAAAACAGAGATAGAGTTAAAGGGAGACAACCTTGGATTTGAAGTCAGAGCATTATTGATAACTCTCTCTTCTAATTTGCAGAGCCTAATTACTATATTCTTAGTACTTGATATAATGCAAAAATATCACAATGATAAAATCATTCAGTAATGATTGATAACTATTTATACTGGGACTCATGCATGCAATTACAAGTAATCCATAATAATGTTTTAAATTTTTAAATCATATTTATTTTTGACATATGAATTTTTTTGAAACTATTTCTAATTCTTTGTGTTTCATTCTTTCTGCCTCACCTGCTATCCTCTTCTGCTGTGTGTCACACTATTTGGGAACCACTGGTCTAGCAAGATAAGCTTGCTGACCATTACACTATGTCAATTTGCCTCATTTCTCTTTTTAATGAATGAAAGATTCCTTTGAACAATCTTACTGGAATTTGTTGTAGCATACCTACAGATGATAATGGGTATGCCCCCATTCACATAAATACAGTACTAAATACTGTATGTTGGTCGTCAGTTGGAGATTCATTATGGAATTCACTTGACTCACTTCTAGCAGTTGACCACTACTTCTACACACCACTGGCGAATCTTATATGTGTTGTTCTTGTCCTAAGTATTATCATTCATTACCAACCTACGTTTGATTATTCAGTAACCTTCACTAGGTTACAACAGAATTGGAAGTGACAACTGTTCTACATTGATAAGAAAGACAAATGGATTTCAAAATTTACTAAAAGAAATACTATCATGTTTGATTTTTAATTGTACATGTCATTCATTTTCCCTTTATGTAAACTATGCCATGTCAGTATTATAATCATATGGATGAACCTATGTTCAACAATTAATGTAGAGAATGTCGGTTGTCTTTCTACACAGTTATGTTTCATGCGTGATACACGCTTAGGTGATCATGTATCTTTCGATACATGACTGATGAGGCAGATTTTTTCCCTTCAGTAGGTTACCATTGTCCTGCTATTTACCCATAGCTAGTGGGAAAAGAAGCGGATTCATACCTTTTCCAAGGGTATTAGCACATTAGTGAATGTAATGGATTTGACTAGAATTTGAACCCTGCTCTCCGATTCCTCAATCTGAGCTGCTATCCATTACTCCACCATGCCTTCTTTTCTACACAACAATTGTTAAATGAAAAGTTTTAGATCCAAGAATCTCAGAGATATTAGTGTCTATTACAAATATAGTAGCCCACTCTAAAACATTTGTTCCTGAATATAAACTAAATGACCTAAAATGATTGGTAAACAAAGAAGGTTTTCAAATGTTAAAGGACATTAAATAGAGTTTTATTCATAGAAATGTAAGTAGATGCACAATTACATATTTTACCCATACACACACATATCCACATGTATCTTTGTTGTTTTCTGTCTCTTTTCAAGCATCAAGTAGTCTTTCAAAGTGTAATTTACTTGAACAGATGGCTCAAATAATGGGGTGGTTAGCAATGACAAGACCATGTCTTTAACAATGGTTAATGAGACTTGACTTGCACTGCATTCCTGAACATATGAAAATTTCAGAAACGGGTATAAATTACAGGATATTAGAAAACACCAGTTGGAAGATGAGATGTAGTCGTTCCGGTCGTGTTGACGGTTGGAAATTGAGATGCAGACTTTTCGGTTGAATCAACCGTTGGGAGTTGAGACACAGATGTTCTGGTCGTGTTGACGGTTGGAAGTTGAGATATAGACATTCCAGTTGTGTCGATGGTTGGGAGTTGAGATGCAGACGTTCTGGTCATGTTGGTGGTTGGAAGTTGAGGTACAGGCATTGCTGTTTGAGCTTGGTGACGAAATCTCCCATAGTAATTACAAACGATAGTATACAGCCCAAAAAACTAAGGTCTAAAAATGTTAAGAGGTGTATTATGACTAGGTTCGTAACACAAATGGAATTAAAAAGTAATTAGCTCAATTATAAAACGAAATGTGTAGGGAACATGATCAAGAGGTCAAGGTTGAAGTGTCCTATTCTCTTCCGTTTTAGGGAGCCGCCAAAGGCGGCCGAGACAGTAGAAGTGTTATTGACTGAGAGTTCAGCATTTTGTTTGAACATTGTTAGTTTGTTAATCATAAAGCTGTTTTGATGTGACAATAATTCTTTTCTTAAGCTACTGTTATTTTTGTTCATAAATAAAAAAGGTTTTACTTTTGCTTTTTATTTTTTTATTTTTGGTTATCTAATGTATGAATATTAATGTACTATGGATGTACTCTGTGGTGTAATGGATATCAGCTCGGAGTGAAAACACGGAAAGCCTAGACTTAGGCACAAATACCCTTGGGAAAGGTATGAATTCATCTCTTCTCCCCCCAGCTATGGGTTGAATATCTGGACAGATTGGGTTCTTTAGCCTTGGTTGGCAACCAGTCTACCGCAGAAAGAAATGGCAACCTAATGTGGGAAAAATAGTCATGTATCGAAAGATATATAATCAGCCAAGCGTGTATCACATATGGCACTTAACTGTCTGACTGAATGTTCGAAAAAATTAACTAAGTCAAAATAACGAACAGACTCTTTCTTAGCACTTTTCAGCTAAGTAAAGATATCTAAATTGACAGCTAGCTGTCATAGATAAATATTTAAATATTTTACACAGGAAGAAGTAAATAAAAAATTTGTTAAATTTTAAAAAAAAACAAAATCTAAAAATATTTTTCGCAAAAGTCGGTATTTTTATTTTTGCCTATGGAATTCGAAACAGTGGTTGGGTATCAACTTTGTATATTTGACGCACACCGAGTCAGTTTTGGTTTCTACACTGATCTAACGTCCGTAAGGTAAATTGATTGTAATTATTTATTTAAAAAAAAAAAAAAACTTTCTGCTAATCGCATAATTATTTAAAAATCTTTTTAATTAACACACTATTTGTTTAAGTTGTAGTTTAAAGTATTTTGTATCGGTTTCATTTTTAAGTATTTAAAAAAAATCGTTCACCCCACGTGTTGAAATGGATCGTATACGTGAAGAAATAAAAAAAAATTAAAACGATTAATTACGAGCATTTGTGGAAATTGTTTTTAAACATCTGAAGTAATATTTTTTACTAACTTTCAATTATTTTCTAATGTTATTTTTGTTGTGAGAATAAAGAACTGATATTTAATTTTTAGCATACTAACGCCGTAAACACGTTCTTTTCTTTCATTTAGGTATTATTATTCATTAAGTTAATCGTTAGAAAGTTTGTGACTGGTGAATTAAAGAAAAACTTTTTGTTTAAATTTCAGTAACTTCTGTGATCGTTGTGATTTTGTTGGAATCATTTTTTAAAAGTTGTTATTCATTGCAATCTGTAAAAATTTCATCAGAGAATACATTATTGTCAAAGTTTCAAAGAAATCTTAAAAAAAAAAAAACACTCATGTCCAAATCGTTTTCAATTTTACACTTAAAATGTTTGAATCGAAAGTGTGATAAATAAAACTTCATTTCTTGTTCAGATGACCCCCAAATATTAATTTCTAAATATGTTAATAAAATTGCAGAAAACTGATACTTCAAAGGTACGCTGAGAGAGAGAGAGAAAACCTTCACTAAAAAATATATATATATATATATATATATATATAAAACAAAAACATTTTTAGAATGTATGTAATCGAATAGGATAACACCGAATTCAAAACCCGCAAAGAAGTTAACGGGAGACCACTCACGCCTTATTACGTGGCTGATCACTAAGTAGTCAGTCAGTTATGTGCCATGCGTGATACACGCTTAGGCGATCATGTATCTTTCGATACATGACTGACGAGGCAGATTTTTTCCCTGCAGTAGGTTGCCATTTCTTTCTACACCCAAGACTACAGAACCCGGTCTGTCCTGCTATTTACCCATAGCTAGGGGTAGAAAAAGAGGATTCATACCTTTCCCAAGGCTTTTTTTTAGCGCATAAGTGTCATTTGACTGGAATTCGAACTCAGCTCTCCGATTCCTCAATCCGAACTGCTATCCAATACTCCACTGTATTCTAGTGACCACCTCCGGATTTGAATTCAGAGTTGTCCTTCTCTAAATTGATTGTCAGTCAAGGCTAAAGATTCCAGTCTACTGTGCCTGATAGTACCCTCATCAAGGCATATATATATATATATATATATATAACAACTCACCACTAAGATCCAAATTACATTGGATCAACATTAGTTATGTATTCACATGCTTCTTATGGAACTGCATTCCTGATGAAAAAAAAAAATTAATGAATAATAATTACATTGGATATACAACTACATACTTATCCAGAAGACTTCATTTGTATCTCACAGATCATAGCTCCATTGGGACCCATTACAATACACACAGAGACCTACTAACCTCTGTCTGCAACATACTTGTAGAAAAACACATGATAAATTTCATCTAAATACAGAAAATATTTAAAAATAATGTATGTGTTAACAATAAAAGAAGAAACCAACTTTTAATAATATCATTTATGTACATGACCGCAACATGCTGTGTATGGAAATTAAAACATTTGCTATGAAAAAAAAAAATTAATTCTTTAGACAAACAAAAACATCTTTGATAATGGCTAATGGATTAGCCAAAAGACACTTGGATCCACAGTTCCTTTGGACAGTTCTTACACACATGTACAAAAAAGAAATCACTTGTACTGAATGCAAGACAAATATAATAAAATCTTAATTGCTGTACCCTGTCAGTTGCCTTCAAGGAAACCTGTATAAAAGAAGGATTGGTGCTCAAATATATATATATATATATATATATATATATATATATATATATGTAATTATTTATTAAAAAATTGTAACATAAACATAAAAAAAAAATCACTACAAAAATAGCCATTTTGTTTCAACACTTCTGGTGTCTTCTCAAGTGATGGTGTTGAATAAATATATATATATATATATATATATATATATATATATATATATATATATACACACACACACTCTGTCTGTGGCTGACAATATATATATTGTCAATACAGACAGACTGTTTCACTGTATCACAGCTCATCAGTATGATTAGACATCCGATTGCCTCAACCCAGGATTGAAACCCAATTGATTTGGCATCAGTTGGAGATTTTTCCCCTAAGCTATCAGCTCCCCACAGAGAGGAAGGTGAATTTTTACATATTTATTATTTTGAATAAACATGCCAGTGACTCGGAGTGCTCAATTCATAGAAGAGTTTTTTGCATTACCAGCAGTAGCAGTCACTGTTTAGAAATTTGCACTTTCCCTCTAAAGTGCATGACTGAATTTTATATTTTCGGGCACATATATAATGCATGTGTGGTTAAGAAGACAAAGTGGAAGCTAAATATGTCCTCAGGCTGGAATGAGAGAAGCCTGCGTGTGAGAAAAGTGTGTTATATAAGAGCCTTATCAGACAGTGTGGACCAAAATTAGGTATATTAAATCCTATAATCTACTTTTCTGTAGAATGATCTTTTTTTCTATAGATTTAGAAATATAAATAATATCAAAAGGACAACCATGTTCATATTTGGGCCCAATTTTTGAAAAATAAGGGACTTTTTTTTTCTATAGGCTTCTGAGATATATGCTGAATTTTTGTTCTAAGTCAAATCAAAAATTGTTTGGTCCTATATAACCCACTTTAAAAATCTTCTTAACTATATCTCAAACCCACTAACAAAAAATGATTTAATCCATTTCTATTCCCACCACAGCAAAAAAATAAAATCAAGACTAATCATTGGATTTTACTTCAGAGCCCTTAGACTATATAGTCCAAAATACCTTGATGAAGAAGAGGAATACATTGAAAAAAACATTTAGTCTTCTTCACTAACCACATCATTTCATACTCAATGTTAGAAAACGAGCATATAAAGTCCACAAGTCACAAAAAGTAGGCACTGCTAACAGCACTTCTAATATCAAAAACACAAAATTCATAATCTTACCCTCTGAATTCTATCTACAGAATTTGAAAATAAATTAGTTATCTCACCACCTCCAAGACAATCAGAGATACAGTTAAGAAGAAAAATAGATCCAACATCACTTCAGATGCTGGGATTTATGAAGTAATGTGCTTGCATTGTAAAAACAGTTACATTAATGATACATCTAGGAGCATGAAAGAGACCCATGCCAGGACAACCCTTTAAAAACTGCTCGTAATACATGAGTTTTTACTCATGAAAACTGGCCATAACTTTGATTTTATAAATGCCACCCTCATAAAAGAACATAATTCTTTATGCAGGAAATACTTAGAGAATTCTGATAAATATTTTACCATCTATAAGCACTATATAACATCATCAGCTTTTATAAAATCTTTACTATATCTTAGATTAAGTATAGCCTTCCTAAGAAATAAAAATGAGATGGGGAGGTATTGCCTAGTTTGTATAATTTATGTAACCATTTGCATCCAATTTAGTTTATGTCTGGCTGCCATTAGCTGCCAATCTATGGGTCATGACCCATTTATAAAAAATAATCCTCACACCAAAACAAGGACAAAAGCCCATATAAACATGTCCGCAAGTCCTTCATTTTTCAGTTATTAAAGAAAGTTTACAGTAGATGGTGCTGTATTGCCATGTAGATTAGGTTACATTTGTCGCTAGTCTGTCTTCAACGTTTAAAGTGTGTAGTAGTGAGTTAACTGAGAAGTGTTCCATTTAACAATGGCAGGATATTCATATTGTGAACAGGCAGATATGTTTTTTACATATGGCTGCGCAAATGGTATCTGGCCTTTGCTGCTGTTTATTGTTGCATTGCTACGACAGGATCTGTGGTACCACAGACTATGGATCGAAGAAGTCCGAGATCTGCTCGTATGCCTGACCATGAAGATGTTCTACAGGCTGTTGAGAGATGACCCAAGTACAAGCAGATGTCAAGTGACTCTAGCATGTCGTGCATCTCATACTACCACATGGAAAGTACTTCAAGAGCAACTCCTGTATCCATGTCATTTGCAACATGTGCAGGGTCTTGTGCCCTCTGATCATTCACCATGGGCAAATTTTTGCTGATAGTTTATTGCATAAACTACCAATCTGTTGTTTGTTTCTTCAGTCTTGTTTATGTATGAGGCAACATTTGGAAGAGATGGAATAACAAATTTACGCAGCTAGTATTTGTGGGCGGATTGAAATCTCCATGGTACAATACAGGGTAGACACCAGCATCAGTTTATGATTAATGTGTGGGTTGGAATTGTAGGTGATTGTCTAGTAGGTCCATATGTTCCCCCAGCACATCTTACAGGAGCTGTCTACTGGGACTTTATTTTGAACACACTTCCAGACAGACTTGCTAGAGGATGTACCCCGACTAATATGAAGATGCATGTGGTTCATGCATGATGGAGCCCCAGCACATTTTAGTCACATTGTTTGAGATGCAGTGGCTGACATCTACCCAAAAAGATGGATAGGTAGGGGAAGACTGGAAGAATGATATGTTCCCACAACCTCAATCCTTTGGATTTTTTATCTGTGGGGCCATCTAAATATATATATATATATATATATATATATATATATATATATATATAATCAGTTTTAGAATGTTGTAAATATAAAATTATTCTTGCAGATAAAAATAAAAATCTAATAAATGAATAAGGTTTAATATTTTTGTTGTAAATTCTCAAGAACAAATAAAATGTACAAATTCACTTTCATCATATGTTTAGGTTTTTATTCTAATTCTAATCATCACTTTTTAAAACAATAAACATTTCCAAGGAGTGAAGTTAGTTAAAATAATAGCAGCATCAAGAGGAAAACTGTCCTTTTTGACACTCCTTTTATTTGAACGTCCAAGTTTGCCAAAATTGTTTTTGGTCTCTCTTTTTTTTTTTTTTTTTTTTTTTTTTTTGGACAGTTTCAGAGTAATGGTAAAAAAAAAGTCTATCTGAGACCTTGGTATAAGATTTTGTATTGAATGTTTAATCATTTACTTGTTTTTTATTTTTTTTTGTGTGTTTTTTTAGGCTAGTAATCAAGATGGATGAGGTGGACTCTGTGAAAAAAGCCACATCGTAAGCGACAGAGTGGAGTAAAAGCTGAAAAGAAAAGAACAAAAATAAATATCTGGATAATCAATCTCCACAGCAAAGGAATCCAAAAGCATTTACAGTTCAATCTTCAAGAAGAGCTCACAAAGCAGTACAAAGGTATGTAATAATATCTTATATTTTTTTGCTTTTTTTTTTTTTTTTTTCCATTTACTGAAATAGTATTTAATAATGCTAATGATAGCAGTATCCCATAATAGTTCTTACATTTGCTTCTTTTTTGTTTGGTTATTCAATCTATAAAGCTGTAGATTGTTAAACTGAGTCAAAAAAAAAATTGACAAAGTTTAACATTCATACTCATAAAAAATGGTGTGTCAAAGGATGTTTTTTCTCTTGACACACATCTACTGTATACTCTCTTGATAATGTTTGTTTTGAAGTGCTATGTTCAGAATTTTGATAACAACAAAAATGTTACACACTATTTAGTTGCTACATTGTTTATTTAAAAGATTAAATTTATCATAGTTTCACAAGAAAAACCATCCTTTTTGACACAGTTTCTTTTGCAGGTACATAGGTTAAATATTGCCAAAACTTTTGTCTATAAAATTGCATATTATTAAACTGAGCAAAAGAAAATTTGGCAAAGTTTAACCTTTATGTCTCTTAAAACAGTATTTGAAAGGAAGATTTTTTTCTGTTGAAAAATTACTGTATACAAGACTTCCTTGGTAATGTTTATTTACATGGTTATAAAAATATCTGAACAAGTACAGTACAATATTTATTACTTACCAGTTTATAAAGAAATAAATTTGAAAAGATATGTTTTAATTCAAATATTTATAAATATGTACAAAATTATCAAAACTTGTGAACCATTTATTTATTATTTACCATTTTATGAAGAAATATGAAAACAAAATTTTCATTGATAATTATCTAAAAATATCTATGAAATAGAGAACAAAAAAATTTAAATAAACATGATTTTTTTGGATATTATATATTTTTCCTGAAATTATTTTATATCTCAGGTTACTTTTTTTTAAATTTTTTTTTTTTTTTATAATCATAATCTAGGATCAAGTATGCCTAATCTATAGAAGTCCAAGGTTAGAAACACCAGCAAATATAGGTTATATCCCACTTTATAGCTTATCCCCACTTCTCTCTCTCTCTCTCTCTCTATCTACAAAAATTTAAATTGTTGCTAAGTTTTCTAAAAATTCCTAGAAAATCTCCCAATACATTATTTATTGTCAGCCAAGTGTTGACCGGTGGAGAAATCTTGTGTTCTTTAGAATGGATGGTAAAACATTGACTAATTGCTGATCAATTTGAGCTTTATAAAATGGTAAATATTAAAGATTTCATTATAGTTGGTTCACATATTTTATAATTTTGTAAATCTTTATAAATTTATGATAAAAATTACATTGTATCAGTTGGTTCTCATTTTTATAATGTTGTAAATATGAAATTTAAGAATAGTGTTTAATATTTTTGTTGCAAATTCTAAAGAACAAAGACAATGTATAAATTCACTTTCATGTTTGGGCTTTACTAAAATTCTAATTATCGTTTTTTAAATTAATAAACATTGCCAAGGGAGTGAAGAGAGATTACTGTAATAGCCGTGTCAAGGGAAATACCATCCTTTTGATATGTCTCTTTTGAAGGTTAAACTTTGCTGAAAATTTATTTATAAAATTGTATATTGTTAGCTTAGCTAAAGAAAATTAATATATAAAATTGTATATTGCCTTTTTCTTTTTCTTTTTTTTTAATCATTTCATCCCAAGCAAGGTAATGAAACCACTAAGGCTCAAGGGGCTACTGAATGTGACGGAATATGAGGAAAAAAACAATATTAAGGAGACAGGACAATAAAAGAACAGGGATTAAGGAGACAGAAGATAATGATTGACATTGCATTTAAATTTTTTAAGATCAAAGTTGAGTGGAAAGCATAAAACCAGAAGAGAGTTCTGCAAGTGAGAATTGCAAGAGAAGAAACCATTAGTGTAGAACTTATAGTTACATCTAACCATTTCAAGTGCAAAATGATGAGACTTAACTGCCAATCTGTACTTAAATTCATAAAGTCAAGGTACCAGAGTGGAAGACTTATCGGAACAATTACCATGAAAATATTTATAGAAAAGTCACAGGAAGCTATGTTACATAAACTTGCAAAATAATATTATTATATTTTTTTTTTTTTTTTTTTTTTTTTTTTTTTAGAGCTGAGGACAAAAAATCTAAAAAACGTCACATCCCAATTGTTGACCGAACCCCTCTTGAGCCACCACCCATTATTGTTGCAATTGTTGGTCCACCAAAAGTTGGTAAAACAACTTTGCTTAAATGTATTACAAAAAAGTACAGTCATCAGAAACTTTCCGCTGTCAGTGGACCAGTCACTGTAGTGTCAGGTAAGCACAAGAAGAATGTCTTTTTTTTATATTTAATCATTGTATTATAAATACTGAAAAACTCATAGCAAGTATTTTAGTATATGACAAGTAACAAAAAAGATTTTCTTAATCACAAGATAAACGATGAAACACGATAACTCATGATTTTAATTTAAGAGAAAGAAGTCTTTTTTCAAATTTCCTCAAATTCTTCTTTGAAGGTATACATATTAAATAAGTTAGCTTTATTTACACTATTTATATTTGGATTATTGTCCTCATCTTTGTTGTTATTATAACAATGTTTCAGTAGTTGTGCCCCCCAGCTTTCCTCAGATGTATATCAATCTGGGTAACCTACAGGGAATTCTGAACTGAACCCTTTATTTAATCTATGAGAGTAGACTGTTCTTGTTCCACTGCTAATGTCTAGGGATATCATCTATTATTTTTATTTAATACTGCTCAGTTATTGCTCAGTGGTCTTCACTGAGTGCAAGTACATGTTGCCTGACCCAGGGATTGAATCAGTCCCTAGGTCAGGTAACAAAGATGAGAATAATAACCGCAATATAAATGGTGTAAATAATAACTCCTTATACCAGAAATTCAGACAGAAAGTTAATTTTAGTTCTTATTAAACAGTTTAGAATCAGTGGTATAGCAGGTAGTTGAATGACAAAATGGAAAATATCCTATGTGACATGTTTTAAAAGGACATCTTCAGACTAAATATCTTTATTGATAAGATTCTATATATGTAGGGAGAGGGAATAAAATACAAAAAAATGTTAGTTATAAATATATATTAAGAGAAGTGTTGAAAATGCAGGGAAGCTTAAATTTAGATTTTAAATTTCTTGTGTCTGGATCAGTGGTTCCCAAACTTTTTGGTGTTGCCACTTCCTTGCATACCAAGTGCAATCCTGCCCCCAAATGTATAATTTGGTTGTTCTTGTTTAGTGGCATATCAACCTCTATGGGTTATTTAATTTAAATATTTTCTACTCAATTTTATTTATTTATTTTTTGAGATAATGGTTTTATCAATACAAGTTAATTAACCCATAGCTGGAGGGTGAAGAGGTGGATTCATGCCTTTCCAAAAAAATATTTGTGGGTAAGAGAATTTAATGAACACAACGGAAATTGGAATTTGGCACTCTGATTAACAACTCCAAGCCATTATCCATTATGCCAACTGCACATCCAAGCCTGGAGCACCTGGTATTCCCAAGCATCACTGATCTAAGTACTAACCAGGCTTGATGTTGCTTAACTTCAGTGATCCTATGGGAACTAATGTTTCTACATGATATGACCGTACCTTCACCCTCCCAATGTATAGTCAGCCTTTGATTGGATTTTCTTGGTGCTAATATTGCATGTTAAATGAATATCTTAGTATTTCTCATAATAATTGTTATATAAATGGGATACATTGTAAAGTGAAGGCAGTGATATACACTTCAGGTACAATGTGTGTGTGTGTGTGTGTGTGTGTGTGTGTGTGTGTGTGTGTGTGTGTGTTGATTCAGATGGGCCACTGTTACCCTTTGTCTACCCACGTTTTTTTTCACACCAACCCCCTGGATCTTTGGGGATCACTAGTGTAAACACTTGACCTAGCTGACCTTATTCAACTGCCTGCTGCTTTTAGTTTTTATCATTATTGTTTTTAAATATTCCGCATTGTAATAGCATTTGTTTTATTAAAAGTGGCAATATGCTGAACCTGCCAATATGATCGATTGTTTAATCCAGGAAGCTGAAACTGGCCAAAATGTACAATTGCAAATAATTTCTGATATTACGAATACAAAATCATTTTATTTTTTTTATTTTTACAGGCAAGCGGCGTCGATTAACTTTAATAGAATGTAACAATGATATTAACTCAATGATTGACATTTCTAAAGTGGCTGATCTGGTAAGTCTTCTGGAAGCTTCTTGAAATTCTGGCAGTTTTCTGAGATTCTGACTACTGGAATAATTTATTAAATAGATTTATTTTTTTTCTCTTCCCAGGTTCTTTTACTTGTTGATGCTAGTTTTGGATTTGAAATGGAAATTTTTGAGTTTCTTAATATCTGTCAAGTTCATGGTTTTCCTCGAGTGATGGGCGTTCTCACCCATTTGGATACTTTCCGAGATGGCAAGCAATTAAAAAAAGTCAAAAAAAGACTTAAAAACAGGTTCTGGACTGAAATATACCAGGTGAGCACTTAGGTTATATCAGAATTCAATTCACACATTAAAAAATTGGCAATCTTTAACCTTTGTGCATGCAAAACAAAAATGGTGTCAAAAGGACACTTTTTCCCTTCACACTGCTATTATTTTAACTACCTTTACTCCTCGGCAATGCTTACTGTTTTAAAAAGCAAATGATTAGAATTGTAATAAAATCTAAACATATGAAAGTAAATTTGTACATTTTTTTTGTTCTTGATAATTTACAACAAAAATAATAAACACTTTATTAGAGTGTTTATTAACAAGAACAATTTTATACTTACAACATTCTAAAATCTTATTAGATTTTAGAATGTTGTAAGAATACAATTAAAACTAATGCAATGAAATATTTACCATTTACTAATTCATAAAGAAATAATATAAAAACAATTTTTTATTCATAAATTTATAAACTTTTATTTTATTTTTATTAATTAATGCTGTTATTTTCTGGTGCTACAGGTAAACAAGTATAATAATAATATACATAGTTTTTTTTTTAATGCCACGTCTGTTCAGAATGTGGGTGATCAAGGCTTTTCATAGATTCTGTTTAATTTGACCTGTGACTTGCCATGATTGCTTGGGAAAAATAGTGGAATTGCTTCCTATTATTTTCTGTATAGTTCTAAATTCAAAGTAGTCTTTCTCTTAGACTGGCTGCCACCCAAGGCTAGAGATGCCAGTCTCACCTTCTGTATAACCCATAGATGGTGGGGAGTAGATGATAAGGATTCATGCTTTTTTTTTTCCAAAGGGCATTTGTGTCAAAGTGAATGCAACTGACTAGGCCAGTATTTGAATTTTTGGCTTTAATAATATAGAGTAAAGGTCTACAAAAATGTAAGTATTTTTTATGCTCTTTAAAATAATTTTTTTATTTCTCGAAAATTAAAATTAAATTAATTATTTTTTTTTTTTGTTGCATGTTTGTGCGTGTAATGTAGGGAGCCAAATTGTTTTACTTGTCTGGTTTGGTTAATGAAGAATACCAGAATCAAGAAGTGCATAACCTTTGCAGATTTATTTCTGTTATGAAATTTCGACCATTACAATGGAGGATCAGCCATCCATACATGCTTGTAGACAGGTAATTAATTTCAATGTTTTACTTTTGTCTTTTTTTTTTTTTTTTATTGCATGTATCTGACATATTTTTCCAAATGTATTATTTAGTTTTAAAATTTATTTTTCTTCTACTTGTGTGTGTGTGTGTGTTTATATATATATATATATATACCTTATGTCAGAGGGCAGAGTCTCGTCTCGGGGAAACTGACTCCGTTTTTACGTGGTCTATAGGGAATTTTTGCCTGAGCCTACAGGCTCAGATACTCCACTTTAAACTTGACCTTGTGCCACATCTTGCTGCATGGGGCAGCAGGTATATATATATATATATATATAATAAATTGATTTAAAATATGTTTTTTTTTTTCGCTACACAGTTCTAACCATGTTTCAAAAATGGAAGCTAAAAGCCACAATTTAATTTTGTGATTAAATTAAAAGACATTAGTTCCATTTCATTCTCAAGATGGAACTAATGTCTTTAATTTAATCACAAAATTAAATTTGGCTTTTAGCTTCCATTTTTGAAACATGGTTAGAACTGTGTATATTAAAAAAAAAAAAAAACATATTTAAATCAATTAATTTATAATATTAATGCTCTATAAATTTACATTGAGCACTATTTTGTAAAAATAAAATATCTATAAGAACACCAGATAATATATCTTGCTGTTCTTTCTTTTATTTATATTATATGTGTGTGTGCACACACACACACACACACACACACACACACACATGCCTTGCTTGACTAATTGTTTGTTTGTAGCTAGGTGGTTAAAGCATCAGATTTAACAATAGCTCCGTCTGCCCAGAGGGACACAGGTTTGCATCTTGGCATAGAGTGCAAATTTCTTTTTAATATGATTTCTTGAACATTCAGGCTGGTAGATGAAAATTAATATACTGTTTAATAAATAAACGGAGATTCTCAAATATGAGTATCCACTAAAAATAATGTTTAAAGTGATATATATATATATATATATATATATATATATATATATAGAAGGGATTTTTATTCATCCGATAGATTTTTATCACTTTAAATGTTATTTTTAGTGGATACTCATATTTGTGTAGATATTTCATTTATTTATTAAGCAACACATTTATTTATTTCCACCTACCGGCCTGTAGTCCTGGGTATGATGATAAACTACATCCAGCAGCAAGACCTCTGATCAGGAGATTGGAGGTTTTGAGGAGCGTGAAACCAACTCTTAATTGCTGTTGTTCCCAGGTATATTTCTCAAACATTCAAGCTGGTAGGTGAAAATGCGAAAATAAATAAATATACTGTTTAATAAATAAACAGGGTGTCTACTTAAATATGAGTATCCACTAAAAATAATGTTTGAAGTGATATATATATATATATATATATATATATATATATATATATATATATATATATCACTATACTTGTTTCAAAAACCCTCGAATTTTGATTTGACAATAATCAAATCAATCTCGGCTTTCCCTGACGATCCGCTTAGGTGAAACCTGGGTAGGTTTGTCTGGCTCACTGGGTCTATCTATCTATCTATATATATATATATATATATATATATATATATAAAATAAAAACGGACCACTTTAAGGTTCCATGTAATAAATTATTTCACAACAGCCCTTTTAAAGGACTGCGGATCATCAGACTTTACTTCCAAAGGTTGAAACAAAAAATGAAAAGAAATTTACACATTTTTGACGGGCCGTATTAAGCATATGTAAATTAACAAAGTGAGGAAGTGAAGGGGGAGAGAGAAGACATGAGTGAGTTAGATGTAATTTAAAATTTCTATTCTTTTATACTTAAAATTACTTGAGGTCCAGGCATTGACACATTTAAACGGTTAACTTAAAATGGTCTGTTTTTATTTAAATTATTTGCTCTGGATTTACATTGAGCTCTCTGGATTTTATCCTCCTTGGGTTTACTCATACGGATTACTTAGTTTTTCATAAAAACTCTCATTCACACTTTCATACATACACTCTAACTAAATTTTATTTTTTATTCTTGGAGTTGTTTTTCTGTTTTCTTTCTAACTAAATTTTATTTTTATTCTTGAGTTGGAATAAATTATGACCATTTTTTAATGTTTTTTATTTTTATAATTTTACATAGAACTGATGAATTGGATATTTCAACCAACAAGTCTTATCTTGGTATTCCAATGGAATAAAACATTTAAAAAATGAAAAAAGACCATGGAATATTAATGTGTGTGTATATATATATATATTTTATATATATATATATATATATTATATAAAGAACTTATATATATATATATATATATATATATATATATCATTTGAATAGATATTTCAATATATATATACAATATATATATATATATATTGTCAACTCAGCTTATATATATATATATATATATATATAGTTATATTAAACTTATAATATTAATAAATATATATTTAAAAATATATAAAATATATATATATAATGGATTATTACCTTATATATATATATATATATATATATATATATATATATATATATATATATATATATATATATATATATATATAGTTATATTAAACAGCTAGCTTAAAAGCTGCCCTATCGGGAAGCATTTCAGCTAGCTTCTGTGGAGGGCTCTTGATTGTGCCATTGGCCTGTTGAGGAGTTTGAGAGTCCTTAAGTCTTTGCATATTCTCAGCATTGGAACCTCCCCGACTGCCATTTGGTCTGGGTTTTCATTTGCACTGGACTTTCTTTTCTTCACTGCAGTCTTGATTCTTTTGATTGCAATCTGCTCCTCTGCTGATGGTTATTTCTTTTTGCAAGGCATACTGCTGCCGTGTGTGATAGGCAACAATAAATTGCAGAAGAATTCAAAATTTATCACTGCATTAATTAAGTATATTGCATTAATATTTAAGCTTACCTTTTAAAAGTTCAATGATAATTCTTCTGTCGCTGCTTAATAAAGACAATTTGATGTGTGTAGGTCCTTACTTTCTGTACAAACAATTATTTTTATTTCATGGATGACTTTTGCTGGATTTTGCAATTACTCTCGATTATTCACAAATTTATTTCCTGTTATAAAAATTGCTATCATACAAAAAAATTTGTTGCAAAAAAAATCATGTAAAAAAATAAAAAAAATTGCTGAAAACAATTGCAGTAATGAAAACTTGGGAATCCAAAATTTCTGTAACATGAGCTATTGAAAGTTAGATAGTTGTGTCCCTTTTAATTGAAAAAGTGTGACCCAGTGACATTGGCATTTTATATATATATATATATATATATATATATACATACACACACACACACAGTCAAACCTCTCATCAATGGACTAATAGTTGGGGGGGGGATGGTCCATTAAAGCTGATTGTCCTTCGATGGGAAGGGATTATTTATGAGTTATAAAATCTCTATAGTGGTTCCTTTTTATACTTTCATTCTGCTTCAATTCCATGATGAGCGCAGAGCAATTAATGTATTAATGAAAATAACAAAAATAATAGATTTCTCATACACACATTAATGTATCGTACTGTATATACTGTACACCTGTCTTTGTTTACAATTCAAAGACTTGCCACTGCTGCCAAGCAGTCACTTTGAGAGCTAATACAACTCATTCTTCTAAGCCTGCAAATTTCAAAATACATTGCTGATGATTTGTAAATTTTTTCCTGCAGATTTATTTTTATTTTGCCTGCAGATTTTGTCCATTGCATCCGAAGTCCGTTGATGAGAAGTTTGTCTGTGTGTGTATATATATATATAATGTGTAATAATTATGATTTTATGCCCAAGATCAGAGTACAGTATCTGTTCCATCCTTGCTTATGTGGTTTAGAATCAGTTGTGTTTTCTGACTGAAAGTTAACATATTAAACAGGAAGAAATTAGACTGGGGAAGGAGGGTGTAAAAGAGTGATGGTAGGAGGCAAGAGGATATAGAGGAGGAAAGGTAGGAGGTAAAAAGCTAGTGAAAAGAAGTGGAGGAAAGAGGATGTACAGGAGGTAAGAAAGATAGGGAAAGGAGGAGGAAAGGTAGGAAATAAGAAGGCTAGAGAAAGGAGGAGAAGAAAAGAGGGAGTAAAGAAGGAAAAGTGGGTGCTAAGAGAGTTAGAGAAAAAATAAAACCAGAGGAAAGGAAAAAATAAATATACATATAGAGAGTGGGGGAATGGATAGAGACAAAAAAGACAGGTACAAGCTTGTTGGTTGGATATCAAAAAAAATTCAAATGCAGATAGGGGTGGAAAAGAATAAAAATTATGATATATTCAAATTCTTAATGGAGTGAAGAGCAAAAGAAAGATAAAAGTGAGTGTACAGTAGAAAATATCTGTGCATTCCTTATTTTTTTGCATAAGAAACTAATCTCTGGCTGTATAACATTTAGACTAAAATGTGGATAGGAAACAAAAGATTGAAAGGATAAGGAAGAGAATGAGAAGATACAGGCAGAAGATAGAAGAACAGAAGCATATAATAATGGATAATGTTTGTTTTCAACATTCATGAAATTTCCATGGGTTCAGCTACTTCATAATTCTCCCTGTCATGCCTTTTCAAGAATTGGGCAATCTTAGCTCTCCACAACTTCCTGTTTTCTTGTTGTTCTCAGTAACACTTGCTACTTGCTTCTTTTCCTCTATCCATTTGCTCACACTTGTTAAATAGTCTCTCTCTGGTGTGTCATATCTTTTCAGAATGTAGCTGATCATGACCCTCCACAGCTTCCTGTCTGTTGTTGCTCTCAGTAATATTTATTGTGTCTTAATGTTGTGCCTTATTGAGTTATACTTTATTTTAATGCCTTTGTGCTGTACCTTCTTTAGTCGTACTTTATTGAGTGCCTTTGTGATTGTTTTAATTTAAAAATTGATAATTGCTTATATAATTTTTCCTTTTTCTTATTAGAATGGAAGACATTACAAATCAAGAAGAATTGAGAAAGAAACCAAAATGTGACAGAACTCTTTGTGTGTATGGATATTTGCGAGGAACGCACTTAAAGAGTACGACTAAGATTCATATTCCAGGTATGTCGTCGTCATTATCAATGATTTTCTTTTTTTGATACAAAAGGAATGAAATCTCTTACAATAATTCATCAAATGTCTTTTTTGTATGTCTGGCATATAAATTAAGGATGACTAGCACTCTAACTTCCAAACTTTCTATGATTACCAATTGACGCTGGAGCATATTCTTGGTATATTTGATTTTGAAAATACCAAAATTTTAAAATAAATTTAAGTCAGTTGTTCGATTTATAATATAAAGAGATTTGAACTTCCTTCAGTTATAAAAGTAAAAAAAATATTCAATGACATTAGTGTGACTGAGTTCTCTAAGGCAATAAGTTTAGGCCAATGTTTTTTGTTTTTTTTAAAGCAATTTACCCTAAGCAAGGCAGTAGTGCCACTAGCATGCTAGGGGTTACAGAGGATTGAGAACAAGAGTAAAGAGGCATGTTTGAGAAAAGGATACAGAGAAGGATGGGGAACAAGATCAAGGTATCAGATGTTGATTGACATTACACTTTGGAGATCTAGATTTAAGTGAAAATTTTCTTTTTTACTTATTTAATCTTCAGGGTTTCAAGTGGAGACACATACACACACAAACTTTAAGCTTTATATATTATAAAATTAATTTTAACTTATTTTGCACCTGAAAAAACAAAATGAAAACTAGATATTCTCTTTGAAGTCTGAGCAATGCCCATTTATAAGTCCACACAAAAACTGTGTTTCTTTAAGTGTTATATCTGTTTTTATTGTGGCATTACAAATCCAGTAAGACTGTTTGGGGAAAACCAGGTGCTGTAAGCTTGGATGTGTGTGTGGTGTAATTGATAATGTTAATTGGAGAGCTAAGTTCCAATTCCTGTTGGGTTCATTATATTCACTTACATGCAAATACCTAAACCCTTATCTCCAAAAAAAAAAAAAAGCAAGGAATTCTTATGACCTAAAAATATTTTCTAGTGAATCAATCAAAAACAAATCCAGTAAAAAATTTAAATTTCCTAAAAATGTGGTTACTTGAAATCTTTTTTTTTTTAATTTCCTCCCTCCACAGATATTTAAATTAAATGTGATCCAAGTGTTCATGATGATGATTTATATGCCTCATAAGAGGGTGGGTCATCTTTCTCCTGTTGCATTAAGTTTAAAAGGTTAAGTCATTCAAATCAAACAGTTGTGGATATTTCTGTGTGAATTAAAACAATTGTTGAAGGAAAAAGTTTTTACTCACTTGCAGATTGAATTAGTATCATTGAAATAAAATGTGTACAAATATTTTTCAGTCAAACAACTATATTATAAATGAAGAACTAATTCTCTGTCTCTCACACATTGTGAGTGACTTTGCATACATATATGTTATGTATATATGAATTTATGTTGTGCATGAGTGACTGACTGATGTGCTTGTTCCATTTAATGTGTACACAAGTGCACACACACGGTTTGACTGAAATTGAAATAAATCACTGGAATAATACATTCCTCCCCTATTCAGGCTAGGCAATCCTTACTCTGGGTTGAGAAATAAAATCATAAAGTTTCTGTGAAGAAAAAAAACTTATTTTTTAAACCCTAAAGAAAAAATAAATCGGGTAAGATTTTAATGAACTTTTCTGAAATTTTTCAATAATGACTAGAATATTTTTAAAATTTTCTATTTTGTTAATTTTATAAAATAGTTTTAAGTCCACTATTGATTAAAAAATATACATGCACTTACACAAAATTGAAATGGACATCCATGTCATGAGGGCTAATTTTCCTTTTCTGCCTGGCAACAACCCCTGACAACAGGAAAAGTGTATAAGCTGAAAGGTGTGGCTCTTTGAAGTCATTTTTATGACTTGTTCTGTATTTAAACTGAATATATTTTGTAATAAATGTATTTTTAAATGGATCAACAATTTAGATTTGAAATTTGATCATCTTGGCATTAGTGCAGTGATTGGGACTGAATTAGTTGTAATGAAGGCTAAAGATTTTTAGTAAATGTTTAAGATGAGTTTGCAACTTAAGTGATTGCATCAGAAAGTTTATTAAGTAAAACTTAACATTTTTTTGTAATATTTCAGGCTGTGGGGATCATTCCATTAATGATATCCAGTTTCTTCCTGATCCTTGTCCAACACCTGACCTCAGTAAAAAACAGTCCTTAAATGTTAAACAAAGGCCAATATATGCACCAATGTCTGGGGTTGGAGGAATCATCTATGATAAAGATGCCGTTTACATTGATATTGGGCAAAAAGATGCAAACAAAAAGAATGAAGAAGATGAACACGACGAAGTAAGAGGCCCTATTTTTTTTTTTTTGTTGGCTTTTTGTAGTTGTGTGTGTGTGGGGGGGGTGTTTTAATAAAAAGTTTCATAAAAAATAAGTCCCCATCTAAAGTCAAAATATCACTGTCATTGTTTTTTGGCTTTACTGAATCATATTTGAGGCGTTCTACCTTCTGCATTGTGGTGGTGGTGGTGGGGGGGAGGTTCTCTGTTACTCCTACTGCATTGGGAGTGTTTCCCCTTCTGCATTGAACGTATTGCTCGTTTCCTTTTCCACATTGAATATGTGCCCCGTTTTCCCTTCTACATTGAACATGTTCCCCATTTCCCCTTCTGAACTGGAGGTGTTCTCCATTTCCTCTCCCACATTGCTGCACTGGAGGTGTTCCCTGTTTCTGCTTCCACATTTAGAATGTTCCCCATTTCCTTTCCATATTAGAGGCATTCCTTTTTCTATTAGCGTTATTTTACCAAAAAACATAAATGTTGTGAATACTAACATTTTTTAAAAATAAGTTAATGTGGGTTTTTTTTTTTTTTTTTTTTAGTTGTTAATTCTGTCATATTTGTTTGCGTAGTACATTGAGCATCATCAAGCTGAATATATTTAAACTCAATTTTTTTGTTTTATTCTTAACATCACCTTTGATGCATCTTTTGGGGTTTTATCCAGTTTTCTAAATAAGATTTAAATGTAATTGATGATAGTAATATTAGCTGTTTCCTTATAAGGAAACATTTGGTATTCATTGATCAAGTAGTTAGTACTTTAAAATTTATAAAATCTTTCTCTTAAAACAGTTTTTTGGGAAAATAGGTTTTTCAAGTTCAGTAGCTGTTATTGCTCTTTCAAGTATTGATAAGAGTTTTTTTCCTAACCTTTTGTTTGAAGTAGTGTGGAATGTCAACATCATGATTATGTCATTGTTTTCTCTTTAAGTTACAAGTGCTGTCCATTTCTGCAGGAGTTCAATTTTTTTTTTTTTTTTTTTTTTTTTTTTTTTTTTGAAAGCTTTTTTTTACTTGTTGAATTACATTTTTTGTTTGCTTAAAATTTTCTGAAAAATAAAGTGTTAAAACTAGTAAAATGTTGAACATCAAATTAATTTGTTGACTTGATATTTTATAGCCTGGAGGTTTGTTATCAGGTTTATTGAATGTCCAAGACACGATTGATTCAAAGATGTCAGCAAGTCAAATGACACTCTTCAGCAACACTGCTCCTTTGACAGATCTGCAAGAGCTAGAACTCAAGTATGTATCAACATAAATTTTTCAAGATTTTTGATTTAAAAAGTGTATTTACTTGTTGCACTCCTTCATTGTATTGCTTTTATTGTTATCAATGTTTCGACCAATTTATTCTACAGCCTTCTTCAGGTGTACAATCCAAGAGAAAAAGTAGTCCACAGTAAAAGTTAGCAAACTGAATAGTGGTTAGTGGCTAATAAACCAATTTGATTCTCAGCATTGTGAGTGACACAGTCAATACCATTTTCAGCAAGTAATACAGGTGACTCCATATTATGTATGGAGTTGTTTGACAACTTTCACTTTTTAAACAAAGAAATCAAAGCTGGCCTGATTTGCATATCTGACGTGATGATAGATACTACTGCTTTTGGTTTTCCCATCATCCCAGAGAGGATAATTTGAGATTCTTCAGATATGGTCTGCTATAGCAGAATTTTCTATAATGGCAGCAAAAGAGAAGCAATGGTGAATGAAATCAAACATGGCAAACAGCAACAGTATAGGTTTAAGATTCCAAGTTCTAGACTCAGGATTGTCCCATGATAGCCTTGTGGATTAAAACCTTGGTTTGTGAATTTCGTGTCATAGTAATTGCAAGTTCAATCCCTGGGCCAGTAATGCTGACTTAGACTCAGTAAAAACAGGGTGAGCAATAAATGTGCAATATTAAATAAGAACAACAGCAGAATGAGAACAATCTACTTGTAAATTAAATAAAGGATTCAGTCTAAAATTCCTTGAAGGTTACCCAGATTGACAAGCATCTGATGAAGGCTGGAGGGCACAACAGCCCAAATGTTGTGATAACAACAACAAAGATGAGGATAATAGTCCGAATGTAAATAGTGTATATAATAATAACTCCTTATCCCAGAAATTTGGAGAGAAAAAAAATTCTTGTTTTAAAGTTTTAATTTAAAAAATTCTTGTTTTTAAAATGTTAATTTAGAAAAATCTTGTTTTTAAAATCTTAATTCAGAAAATTTGATAAACATGTCTAAATTAATGTCTGCATTGATAATAACTTACTAGAAAGCAAATTAATTTCTTTCTTAGATGAATATAAATATGCCCATTCATATAAATGTGAACAATTTGTTCGCAATACACAGGTATATACAATTCTTAAATTCTGATTGAACTCTGTAAAATTTTTTTTCTTTGTGTAAGTATTGGAGAGGGAATCTACCTATTTTCCATTTTACAAAATACTTTTTCATGTTAGCCAGGTATTGTTGCCAGACTGATAGGAAAATTAGCCCTAATGATGTCCATTTCAATTTCATTCAAATTGTGTATATGTACATTTTTAAAAACACTGACAAGGAATTGAATCTTGAAGATTTTTATTTTATTTTTGTTTATAAGTAGAAATAATTTTAAACATTATTTTTTAAAATTGTTCTGTTATTTTGGAAATGTAAATTTTTACATTATTTTTATAGAAATGGTGGTCATGAAGATGGTGATGAGGAAAACAGTGACTTTGATCAGGAAGATGAAGATGATGATGAAGAGGAGGAGGAGGAGGAAGAAAGTGCTGATGATGGTGATAGTGACAGTGATGAAAAAGTATGTAAAATTTTAAATATCCATTTTTTTTTTTTTTTTGTTTTTAATTATGAGTTGAGATTATATTGTTTACTCCTGAAATTCTAGACATGTTTATTTTTGTAAAGATTATTCAATTTTAGATGCCACATTGTATATTTTATGTCATTGCTAGAAATTAAATTTGTAAAATTTGCAAAAACCACAGAAATGAAAACAATTGGTTGGAACAAAGTCTAAATTGTATACAACTATTCTTAAAATACATTTATAAAATGCAATGGTGGAGGTCATCAGTGATGTTACCCTGGCTTCATTACGGATTTCGGGAATTGCATCATCAGATCCGTTCTGCCAGGTACCCTGACCTGTTAACAGGCTGCTTCTCTACATAATTTGCTCCATCATGTGATTTTAACAACAGGAAATGTATTAATAATCAGGAGGTAGATCTTTCTTTTATAATGGCAACGAGACTTGCATTAGCCAATCAGAATTTGCTTGTCCGTTGTCTAGAGGTATAAAAACAGAGGTGTGACATGTGCACGCTTTCTAGTTTTGCCTCTCTTGCATGTGTGCCGATGTCATGGTATAGTTTAATATATTTTTCTTTCTTAATTTTCTCCAATTAAAATCCATCAATTTATATTTTCAGGAAGACCTAGAAAATACTGAAAGTGAACAACCTAAAGCAAAGAAAATGAAGGTAAAAAATATCTGTTTGAATTAGGGTTCTCTTTGGTCAGTTGATTTTCTACACTAAAACAATTAACATATTTGGGAAAAAAAAAAAAAAAAAAAACCTAACAAATTGTGTTTATTTGTATTCTTTACCTATATTTGGGTTTTCTTAATATTCAGTATGTTTACTGAAAATTTTTCTATCAGTGTATTTACAAGATGTTTCTATGAATATAAGGATGTTTGCAAACACATTTCGGTAAACTTGGACTTTCATGCCCACCAAAAAATGATGGTTTTTTCCTTGACACCACTATTATTTTAACTACCTTTACTCCTCAACATTTATTGTTTTAAAAAGCGATGATTAGAATTTTAATAAAACCTAAACATACGAGAATTTACAGCAAAAGTATTATGTATTAAATGTATTAAATTGTCTTACAAGAATAATTTAATATTTACAACATTCTAAAAATTAAATACAATTAAAACCAATGCAATATTTATCATTTTATCTATTTATAAAAAAATAAATATGAAAACAATTTTTTATTCATAAATCTATAAATATTTACTAAATTATTAAAATATGCGAGCCAACTAAACGGAAATCTTTATTTACCATTTTATAAAGTTCAAATCGATTGGCAATTAGCTGATGTTTTGCCAACCATTCCAATAAATAACCTCATAGTGTAAATAAACAATCTAATAAATACATAGTGTCAAATCGTCATTATTTCCTAAAAAAAGTGTTAATGTAATCCACCCACAAAAAGGATTATTTTTACAATCCAAAAATGTTTTTCACCTTTAAATAACTCACAATGATAAACTGAAAAAACAAATCAATTAATTTCATTGTTAGAATGCTAATATTTTGATTACTCAACCATGCACCAATTCATATATATATATATATATATATATATATATATATATATACACACACACACACCAAAAAATGAACAGAATTAACCCCCCCCCATAATTAATACCACCTCAATATATAACACCAAGACAAAAACAAATAAACTACTAACCATTAAATAAAAATCAAATGATAACATGATATAACCATAAACTTATGTGTGTGCAGGATTATGCACTATACGTGTATGTGTATATGCATATATAATGATGAAAGCGGAGATTTTACAAATCCATTGATAATAATTTATTTCATGGAATCAGAGCCCATCTCTTCAGACCAAACATTTTTACAACAATAAATGGATTTTAAATTTATCCAGACACAAGCGGAAAAAAAAATGGTTAGGAAATAAGAGAAAAAAAAATTTTTTCAAACATAAGAGGGGAAGATATAAATTTTAAAATAAGGTTTTATTATGGGAGACGTGAAAGGGAGAGGGAGAAAGAGATAGATATATATATATATATATATATTTATATATATATATATATATATATAGAGAGAGAGAGAGGGACATGGGGGAGGGAGAGTAAAAGAGGGGAAAAATTTTTAAAAAGTCACTGATGGGTTGACCTCTAATGTTCTCCTTTCACCAGATGTAACAAATAAAAGAAAGTGAATATATTCAAAAAGGAACATAGGAAAAAGGAGTAGAAGATAGTTTTAAAAATAAGAGAAGTGTTTAGGACATGGCAAGCAAAAGAGAGTGAAAATATACAAAAAAGAAAGCACTTGATTGAACACAAGAAAAATTAAATAAAAATAAAAAGCTTAATTGCAATACCTTGTCTGTCGTCTTTAATGAAACATGTATAAAACAGTGATTATTGCCTAAATACACAATAAATATTATATATAAAATATTTATCATTTAGGCATTAATATCAGTTTATATAAAAAACGAAATACAACTTCCCTAGCAAAAAAACTAGAACGCCCAAAAATAAAACTCAGTCACATGTCTAGAGTTGAAACAAATTACAACAAAAAACAGCAACAGTTGAAAGAAAAAAGAAAAAAAAGAGAGAGAAGGCTAAAGCGTGAGTGTAAAGTGAAAAATAAATACCAAATGGAAAGGTCAAATGATCATGACACCCTACATGTGCACATCTGTGCAGATAGATGCACACGAGTGCACACACATCCACAGAGACAGGCACATGTCTGCATGCACACACATGAACACAAAAAAATACAGAAAAAAATTACACTAATGCTAAATGTATATAAAAAGGAAAAAAAAAATATAAGCAGTAAATTGCTGATATTTTAGTACTGCTCAGTTATTGCTCACCCTGTTTGCAGTTGTTTTGTTGTTGTGGCAACAAAAGATGAAGACAACAGTTCAAATATAAATCAAGTTGAATGTACTTGGTTACAAGAAAAGTATAACGACTGAAACAAGAACAACATTTATCACCAACTTACCACTAAGAAATCATTTTACTGTTACTATAATCAGCTTACAGGCTGATTTTAACATTGGTTGGGTAGAAACAGCAATACATGGAATAACAGCCAGATAACAATTTTTCACACTAACAGAGATTTGTAGAACAAACATCAGTGCTAATGTCATCAATCCATGGTAATTGTAGGTTTACAAGATATTTATTATTATTTATTTTCATTAACCTTTATCACTCTGTATCTGACTTCATTTGATGTACAAAATGTTTATCCTGCGACTTAAGGTGACTCTGATCCCTGAACATTAGTGTTTGAATTTCATAGTTGTGTTGTCATATCCTGCTATGGCAACAGAAATTAAATTTGAGGGAAATTAACAATAAGGTGACTGAAATTGAGAGACCTTGAAAAAGAATGCAGTGGAAGGGAAATATTAATAATGCAGAGTGCTAAAGGTTAAGATTTAAAAAAAAGGTTTTATGTGATAATGAGGAAGTAGGCATTTGTTTATCTTGAAAGATAAAAGTAGTACCCTCTTTCATTGAAATTTAATTGTTTGGTAGTAACACTAGAGTGACCTTTCCAAGATGGAGGTCATGTGCTGCCCAAACTACATACACCCCCCCTACACCAGCACCAAAGAGATACAAGTCATTAGATTTGACAGCAGCTTGGCTGCAAGAGTTGCTGGAAAGTTGTCAGTTTTGACAGCCAACCAATTTTGGGGCTCCACTGAATTTTCTGTTTGGTTTTACTTCCATAACATTTTCCAAGTTTGTATGTGACTGCAAGATTTTCTTCCTCTAGAATAACTCTTCCTGGACAGTTTAGTCATGAGTAGATGTCTGTCTTCATCCATTTTCTAGGTACCATCTTGATATTGGGTAATCTAATGTTCATGTTAAATTGACAGTTTTATAAAGCTTCTTTGGTCCGAATAAATATCCTGTATATTTGTGGTTGCTGTGGATTGGTAATGTTAAACAAATCTCTGGTTGTGGGAAAAATTTTTAACTGGCTTTTAGTCTCCATGTTGATTTTTTTTTTTCTCCCAACTGATGTCGAGATCAGTTTGTAAGGATGTTGGGCCTTCTTATCCTATATTAGTTCAATTATTTACTGTTTTAAATGTGGTTTATGACCACATCACATTGAAACACTGGTTCACATATGATCACTGAAGTTAAGCAATGTCGGACCTGATGAGTACCTAGATGGGTGACTGCTTGGAAATACTAGGTGCTGTAAGATTAGATGTATGGATGGTGTAATGGATAATGTCTCAGAATTGGAAATTGGAGAGTTGATTTCCAATTCCAGTTATATTCACTTATACACAAATACTCTTGGGAAAGGTATGAATCCACTATTTCTCCCCCAACTATGGGTTAATTAGTAAGTCTTGAATCAGTAAAATCATTATTATCCTCAAAAAATTCTTACAATCTAAAAATATTTTCTGACTTTAAATAACCTGTAAAGGTTGATAAGCTGTAAAAAAAACAATCATTTTAAATATCAATGTGATGTTGACTTTAAAAATTGGAAGTGAACATTATCATGGTTCTTTTTATATTTTATTTAATTAGTTGGCGGAAGATTCCATGTCATCAGCATCTGAGGATGATGATGATTCTGAAAAGAGTGAAGATTCTTCTGATGATGATTTGGAAAAAAGTGAAGATTCTTCTGATGATGATGATCAAGAAACAGGTAAGTTAGAGAAACTATGTTCTAGAATTTGAATGAAAGTGTTCTCGGCACCTCCCCCTAAATCCATCATAAAAATTCAGGATGTGAAATTAGTAAATACTAAACAATTCAAATAACTCAGCGTATGGATCAGTCATATCAAATTTAGTATAGGAGATAAACAAATTGAACATAGAATAGACTGCACTCAGAGTAGTTTTACCCAGCATTGCAAGTTGTTACAAAATCAAACCATTTGCCTAAAAACTCAAGTCATGTTCTTAAATAGCCTTGTCAGATTGACACTTTCATATGAATGTCATGCATGGCACCAAACTTGTTCAGAAATATTTAAACTATCAGCTAGCTGTATGCAACTACTTTCTCACATCAGTGATCAAAAATGGCTTTAAGCAAATGAAACTTGTAGGTCTTAGCAAGAACCATCCTTATAAACTGGCAGTACAGAATCACAAACACAGAACTTTAGCAAATAACAGAAACCACATCACTAGATGACTTTCAATAGAATCAACAATTAAAATAGCACATGAAAATAAGGATAAAATGAAGATGTTGACATTTCACATGACTTCAAACAAAAAGTTAGGAAGGAAACCCCTATGAATACTGGAAACTTCAATAATAGTTACTGGACATGAGAAACCTATTTTCCTGAAAAATATTTTAGGAGAAAGATAGCAACATTGGTTGTTTGATCAATGAATGCTGAATGTTTTCTTATAAGGAAGCAGTTAATATTACCATCAATATTTACTTTTTAAAAAATTCTAGTATAAAGAAAGGTATCTTTGTTTAAAAATTGAAGTAGTGGTTTCCATTCTTTTGTTCTCATTGTTGTTTATTCATAATATCAATTCTAATGTTTTGTGATGTTGGACAGCTTCACTTGTTGCTTTTGCTATATCAAGCTGTTATATTTGAGACTTCATAGATGCCGGTACTAGTAGTAATGCTTTCCAGTAATATCTGCGCTAGTAATACTTGTTCAAGTAGTAATCATCAAATAGTATAATGATCAGAAGAGGATTGTAATCCATATAATAGTAGAGAAGAGAGAGTGAACGTATAGCAATAGTGAATAAACAAGAAGAGTGAACAGTGATCATATAGTCATCACACTACTTCCTATTTATTCACTTCCTTTATGATCATGTGATCTACTTAATAATGGAATCATCCTGTGTTACTCACTGGGGATCTAGTTTCAAACCGCAGTGTTGGCAATGATAATCTTGGGAACAATCATTTTTGTTTCTGTTTGAATTTTCATTATTTACACTCAGACTATTGGTCTCAGCTTTGTTTTTATCATAATGCTTCGAACAGTATGTCCACCAACCAATAATGACATCCCAAATTTACAGGAACCAATTCTATATATGCAGGTAATCCCTAGGAACCTATTCTATTTATTTTCTTTTCAATCTGAGAATCAAAACAAATCCCTTTATAGTATCAAAAAGAATTAAACCATTTTGATAATTTATTAGAATCATTTATTTATTAAGATATTTCCAGATTGAAATTCCATTCTCATCATATTTCTGTTCAGAAGTCATCAGCTGTGTTATGGTTTCTTAGCCACATTGGAACTGAATCGCTGCAGTCCCAAAGATCCAATGGAAGACCTATCAAATTTATGACTAGAAGATTTGCCACATTTTTAACTTCAAGATGATTTCTTTTGTCAGAATGTTCATCACATGAAACCCTCTTTCAGCCTCTGCAGAACTTACAGCAATGGTATTAATTATATTTTTAACTATTATATATCGGCTGTTAATATATAAGATTATTTTCAGATAATCCTACAACTGAGTCGCTAAGCTTTTATAATTTTAAGAATTTGTTTGCAAGAACCAGTAGGATGCCATCACTGCTGCCAACAATCATCCAATTGATCTGGATAATCTTCAGAGAATTTGTAAATAAAAATAAAGTTGCCAGACTATTATATTCATGTATAATGTGAGCCCTTCCATCTTATTGGATATGACCCTCTTGCTCAATGAATTGTTCCAGGAAGAGGGTTAGTAGAATAATATATACAAAGAAAAAACAAAACCTTACAGTATCAGTGAGGGAGTTCTTAGATAATTCCCAGGAAAATAAGTTAGTAAGAATCTATAACACTTACTAAGAAGCGATATACAATATTGGTGATGATAAAACTTAACTATTCAACCTGGGTAAATATCTTGAAAGACGACTGGATGGAACATCTACAAATCTACTTAGAAAAATCCAGAACATCAGTTGGATATCCCCTGCAATGCTTAACACAATTTATGGAAAACCCAGACCAATTTGTCTTAAGCTCAAACAAAAATGATTACAGTTTGCCAGACACTGCCACCGAGCAGACAAGGAAATCATTTTACCCTTACCCTTATGGCATCCTTCTGGAAGTGTCTTCTCATGAAAATTGACTTTCACAGACATCATAGCTTGTGACTCGGGGTTGGACATTGAGGATCTGGGCACAGCAATGCAGGACTGAACAATGTAGAAAGGGATCGTCAATGGAGTTCTGACCAAACATAAGGAGGTCTGATGATGATGATGAAATATCTTTACACTTTCTATAAAACAACTGGAATACAACATATCCCCATCTAATTTTATCATTTTGATATAAAATTTCTCATGTTATACACAAATATCGTAAACATTTTAGGGTAATGAAAAGTTCTTGGTCTGACCTACTTACAAAATTTTAACAAATGATCGATTTTCAGAAATTTTCTTTGGAAGGGCTTCTTGGCTGGGCCAAGAACTTTTCAGCACCTCTTTATATTTGCATTACATCCAGAAATCTGAGGTTCCATTCCTAGATAATCAATTAGATCTTTGAAGTTTTTTCTTTCTGATATATGTTTTCTTTTGAATCTAAGTTTGGTGTCATTTCATTTTTAAACTTTAGCACCCTACATAATTAATATTACTCCCCTTTCAACTGCATTCTATTTCAATGTCTGTCAATTGCAGTAACCTTATTGTTAATTTTACTCAAAGTTGTTTTCTGTTGCTATAGCAGGATATGACAACACAACTATGACATTCAAATTCAGAGATCAGTTACCTTCAGTGGCAGGGTAAACTTTTTGTACAGCAAATGAAGTCACATATGCATTGGTAAAGGTTAAATAATCCCCTTTTTCTTTTTCTTTTTTTTGCAGGTCATCTCAAATGGAAAACTGATTTACTTAAAAAAGCATCCTCTTCCTTTCGGGATCGTCAGTTGGCAAAGAAGAACTATAAGAAACTCATTTATGGAGATGGTATGTATATATCTATACAAATGATTAATGATATTTTTGTTGTCAGTATCCTTCCTTTCTTAGGTACCAAGCTGCCGTTACTTTCTGTGGTAGACTAGTTGCCAACCAAACATTTTGTCCTACTTTTTAACCCATAGCTGAAGGGATAAGAAATGGATTCATACCTTCTCTGAAGTATTTGCACTTAAGTAAATGTAATGAACTTTACTGGATTTTGAAATTGTAACTCCGGTTTCTCATTCCAATCTGTTATTCATCGCACCACCTGCACAGCACCTGGTATTTCCAAGTGGTCATTCATTTAAGCACTGACCAGACTCAACATTGCTTAACTTCTGTGAATGGACAAGAACCAGTGTTTCAATGTGATATGGTTGTAAGCCATGGTATAAAAATCAATGTAGCTTGGCGTGTGCTGGGGAGGACAAAAATTGAAGGAATGTGAAGCTGGTGTAATGGATAGCGGCTCAGAATGAGAAATCAGAGAACTGAGTTCAAATTCTGGTAGAGTTCGTTACATTCACTTATTGTAATTTTTTTTTTTTTTTTAACTAATGTCCACCCAATATTAGGTGCAAGAGCCACTCAAGGTAGGTAGTTACTGTGTGGTGTTTTATTAGTGCAAGAAAGAGCAAGAAGTGAAGTTCTTGGGGTTATGGTGATTTTATAAGCATAGTTTAGATGTGGCACAAAGCCGAAAGTATGGAGCACCGAGTGAGGATCAAACTCACTACTCAGTTGTCATTTTTCTAGCAAGACAAGCTTGCTAAACATTACACCATGTCGAGGTGCTCAAGTTCTTGGAGCTATGGAGGAAAGATAACAGTTAACTCGTGAGTTGAAGACGTCAAGATTTAATTAGTGAATAACATTTCAGAGTTCAGTTGGAGACGTTAGAAGCATAGAGCGAAAGTAGACTTTAGAAAGATCCAGAAACCCAATCCTAAACCAGAAACAAAGAATAAATCTCTACTCCTATTCAAAAAATGAGGGAGGAGTTGAACTGGGCAATAGGTGAACCTATCTACTCCTATTTGTGAAGGAGAAAAAAAAAATAAATAATTAGTGAATAAAATTTCAGACCCTTGGAAAAGGTGTGAATCAACATTTCCCCCCAACTATGGGTTAAATAGTAGGACTTGTATCTGAAAAAAAACATTGTTATCCTCAAATATTGTTAATGCAATATTCACTCACAAAAAACAAAAACGAATTATTCTTATAATCAAAAATATGTTTTGGGTTTAAATAACCTATATGGGGTTGATAAACTGTAAAGTAAAATCAATCAATCAATCAAATGAAATAGACAATGAATGAGTACATTTAAAAAAAAAAAGCACTAATCCAAGGCAGACTTATAAAGAATCTGTGAAATTTACATCCATATATAACAACAAAATTCAGTCTTTGGTATGACGATAAACTACATCTGGCAGCAAAGCCTCTGATTGTGAGATTGTAGGTTTTGAGGGAACCACTTCTTAATTGCTGCTGTTCCCAGGGCAATCCTGATCTGGTTTGTTAACACCTGTTAGGATCCCAGTTATGGACAAATAGTGCCCCGCTCAAACAAAAGCAAAACATTATGAAAGTATAAAAATACATTTTTATCGTAAAGTAACTGGCAATACATTTTTATATAAAAAAAATTACCAGTAACTATTTATAGTAGAATTACCAACAATATATTTTATCTGTAGCTGAAGGCATACAATTACATTCAAAGTTAACCAAACTAACAGCAGTGTTACTATTTATAATAAAACTTTTTGACTGTTTAAATACAAGGTTTTATTTAGAAAAAAAACATTAAATTTCGACATTAAATGAAACAATGGGTTAATATGCCATAAAACAAATCAAACCAAACTAATGCAACAAAATGATTGTATCATATAATGGTAAAAGAGAATCATTTTAAAGATTCTTTTAATGAAAAGAATAAGTTAAGAATTGTCTATGTGCAGAGAAAATGCAAGTAACATTTTATTTTCCTTGTGTGTGTGTCTGTGTGCGTGTGTGTGACTTTGTAAAAAAAAAAAAAAGTAGCAGGTTTTTCTTTTTCTTAACAAATTTATCCCTTTTAGCTAACAAAATACAACCACTTATTTCTCCCAAAGTTTTGGCTGTTACTCACCTGAATTGGAAAATTGTCAATTTTATTCCCTGATAGTAACACTAATTGGAACTTTTCACAGTTAGTACTACCCCTCACTAACGAATGGGTCTTCATTCACCAATTAGTGAATGCTATTAGATGCTCAACTAACCAATCTTCTTTGACCCTTTTGCACAAACAATTTTTATTTTTAAAAGTTCATAATACCTTCAATAAGCCTTACTCTTTAGATCCAATGTGTTTTTATATTAATGACTTCATGAGATCATTATTATTACTTTCTTATTTTAATATAATAATATTATTAATAATATAGTAGAGTCATTGTCTTTAATAAGCTTTGGAGGAAAGTTCTGTAAAAATCAAAATATGTTTCCTGCACTATTTACATTATTCGGACTATTGTCCTCATCTTTGTCGCCATATTTATTACAACGTTTCGGTCGTTGTACGCTACATCCTTCAGATGGTTGGAATGTCGAACTGAACTCTTTATTTTGCTCACTGGGATAGACTGTTCTAGTTCCATGTGCTATGTTTTAATGGATGTCAGTTATCAGTTATCTTCTGTTAATTCCCCTCTCCAAGTTCACCACTGCCTTAACAGGGTATTGAACTCACACTCTTTGGGTCCTGTCACTGGATCTAACCAATGCCTTTATCCACTGTGCCATGTGTCCTTGAGGACAAAGATGATGACAATAGTCCGAATAATGTAAATAGTGTACATAATACCTCATCTCAGAAATATAGACAGATGTTTTCTGCATCATAATATTTTAGAAATACATCCATCTTTTTTTTGTGTTGCAGATGAAACTACATTGTCTGACAAAGAGGACAGTGAGGATGAAGAAATTGGAGGCTTGTTTAAAGTGATGCGGAAGAAAAATGAAGCAAGTCGCTCAAAAAGGGATTACCATGGCTTTGACTGCTCCAGATTTGTAGTTGGCCATATCCAGGACTGGACATTAAGTGAAGTGAGTAGAATTTAAATCTCTGAATTTTGTAACTAGTATGAAGATAAAAAACTATAATTATTAGTTAGAAGGCTTAGAGCCATATCACATTGAAACACCACTTGGGAATACCAGGTTTTGTAAGCTTGCATCTGCAGGTGGTGTAACAGATAACTGATCTGAATTAGAAATTCATTTTCTGTTTGACAGATATATTATTTATATCATACGTAAGCAAATTATCATTTACACCACAGGTAGACAAAATACTGTCTGTAGGCTCGATCCAGCTCACAAATAAATTCTTCATAATATCACACTGATGGATTTTTATGCAAAGTCTTTTGTTATAATTTGGTGAATTGGAATCAGGAGAGGAAAGGTCAGTATAAGCAATACTGGTCCATCGTGAAGACGTAATATTTCCCTGAGCCAATTAGAAAAGTTGGCAGGTGACTGGGCCAGTTGATGATTTGTCTGCATAGCTATTGTATAAACCACAGAAGCAAAGTTGGTGTGACAGATTAAGAAACACTGTCGAAGTTGTCACATGCAGAATCCTTCCTCTACTCTCATCCGAGTTCTCTTCAGATGCCGCACTTTTGGAAAATTGTGCCATTCCTGTGTTGGTCTAATCAGCCATATGAGACTCCATCCAC